GCTTTTGTACAGGCCTGTCTGCCCTGGCAGGTTGTGAGCTCCTTGATGGCAGGCATCATCCTTTCCATCTGTGTTCCAGTGTGATTCCCGGAATCTACAAACAATAGCTCACATTTTTAGAGCTTGTGCTCTGCTCTAAATCATCTGAAGCATCTCATGCAATCCTCACAACAGCCTTTTGATGTCAGGACTGTTATCATTCCTGTTTTGTAGCTGAGAAGAGAAAGACACACAAAGGTGAAATATCTTGCTCAAGGTCATTTGGCTTATAAGTGGCAGAGACAGGACTTGAACCCTGCCCATTTGACTTCAGAAGCCACATCTTAACAAGCCTCACGGACTTTCAGAATGTACTTGAGGAATGACTGATGAACGAATGAATGAGAGGAGGGAACTCAGGAGGGATAAAGTAGAAACATGCCGTTATGACAGAGGAAGGTTACTTCATGGCTGGCGGGTATACATCCAGTTCTGTATAACAGCAATATTTATTTAGATGTAAGTTGAAGAAAGTAGGAGAGCCATATCATAGTTCTATTCTGCACCATTTAGAGGTGAAATTAAACTCTTCAAAACCTGTGTGCTCAGGAGTCTGGTGCAATGCACGGGCCTTAAAGATGCATTTAGGAACTGGCAGTGTAGGGCGGGTGTGCAGGCTGGCCTCGGAGCAAAGGTCTGCCTGGTGGGGGAAGGTGGTACAGGAGCGAAAAAGACAGGAGGGAATTCTGCAGAAAATAGCAGGCTGTTCATCAGTGGAAACTCTTGTGCCTAAACCCATTCTTAGGCAGCAAGATTGTGTGATTGAGTTGTATGGTCTCTGGGGAAGAAAGCTGGAAAAGGGTTTTTGAGGATGTCCATTGACCTGCTGGGTCTGTTTCTTTGGAGGAGAGTGTAGGATTTCCATTTTAGAAGTTGAAGCTGACTTCATTACGAATTGGTTCTGATGGAATTTGATGGTCAGGAGGAAATTAGAAAGGACAGTGTGGAATACTGGGTTAAGTGAATGGACTCTGGAGCCCCACAGCCTGCTACTTACCAGCTAATAACCTCAGGCAAACCACTTAAGCCCAGTCCTCCATTTCCTCATCTGTAATGAGGCAGTAATAGCCCCACCTGATAGTATCACAGGAGGACTGGTAAATTAACCTTTGCCAAGTACTTAAACTGTGCTTGGTGCATAAAAAGCACTCATTAACTGATTATTACAATGAATAGTTAGAGCGTAGTAAGGATTGGAGTCTACCGGTCAAGATGGGAACTAACCGTTGGTGGAGACACAGGTCTCTCCTGAGGCCCTTTTCCGTCCGTGTTCTGGTTCGTGTGGTTTTTAAGGGGTGAGGTTGCTGGGCTCAGGCTCAGTACAGAGCAGTTGAGATGATTGTCCTATGGCAGGGGCCACCTAGGCGACGGCAAGAGTCTATGACACTCCAGTACCTTTTGTAGAATGCCATGGCAGAAGTGTCTCCTTAATTCTGGATTTTTCTTTGGCTCTGGCGCTTGGGCCTGGACCATCTATCTGCCTCTGGTATCGTGGTAAAGCCGAAGGGGAATGGGATAAGGGAATCCGGTGTCAAGTTCAGACTCAAGCCTTTAGCTGTGTGAACTTGAACCAGTTACAGCTTCTGTGAGTCAGTTTCCTCATCTGTAAAGTTATATGTTGGTGGTAAGGTCATCATTATTAAAATCTCAAATAGGAGATTGTATGTGAAAGGGCTTGTAGAAGGCAAATCTGTAATTTGTTTAAATCCCTTTAAAAACAACAACAACAGCAATGGCTCATAAAAGAATGTGAATTCAATCTGTTTATGCGTGATTCCATCCAAATCCCATCTGATGCTGTTGTCTTATCGCACTTCAAGTTTTCCTTTGGCTTCCCATCGGTTTGGCTTTCTAAAAAAGTCACACTGAAAGGTAGGATGGCCAGGCCTTGATTTTTCAGGCTTGGGGCCCTTTTGACTGGTTCTAGCTTGTCCAGGACCTGTTGGGATGCACTTAGCAGAAATGCCTCTCCCACAAGACAGTTTGAATCAAATGCTGGAAATTCCAGAGCTCTTAGCAGCTGAGCATATAAAATTAAAAGAAACTCCCATTTTCTTCTTTTCAGTCTTCCCCCTCCATTCCCCATCATTTTAGTTTTGTGAGTAGTCACATTCTACTGTAGCAATGTTGTGGGAAATTATTAATTGATCCCCTTTAAAAATAGTCATTCTTAAAGGATAAAATTAAGTAGCATGATTACATACTTAATAACACTAGATAGTCTAGATTCAGTCATTCATTGGACTAACACTGAGTGCCTACTATGTGCCAGTCACTGTGCTGGTTACTGGGGACACCATAGCACTAAAGGCATATGAAACCTGCTCTCACACACAGCACTGGAGGTCCCCAGACATAAAATTAATAAACCCACAAAATAGATTTACAAATGTATTGTGACAAGTGCCACCATAAAGAACATAGTGTATTAGGATGATGTGGGGATCTAACTTAGACTGGAGGTCAGAAAGGCTTCTCTGAGAAGGATCATTTAAGCTTAGACCTGAAGGATAAGAAGCTAATTAGATAGAGGTTATAGCAGGTGCTAAGGTCCTGCGGTGGGAAGGAAACAAGGAAGACCTCGGTGGCTAGAGCTTAGTGGGGGAATGGCATGATGAAGGTGAGGAGGGAGATGTGGTCTTTAAGGACCTGGTTGATGATTTTGGATTTTATCCTTGGAGTTAGTCATAGTAATAATGAGTTTGATTGGGCTGCTTTCTCTGGGAGTAGAGTGTGCCAGTCCAGAACCTTTGCTAATCCCAAATAAAGTGATATGTAGGGTCTTTTTTTTTTTTTTTTTTAATTCTCACTCTAGGAAATGTTTATTGATTTTAAAATGAGGGGGAGGGAGGGTGAGAGCGAGAGCGAGAGAGAGAGAGAGAGAGAGAGAGAGACATCAGTGTGAAAGAGAAACGTCAATCAGTTGCCTCCTGTATGCTCCTGGACAGGGGATTGAACCTACAACCTATGTATGTGCCCTGACTGGGGATCGAACTTGCATCCTTTTGCTCTACAGGATGACACTCCAACCGAGTCATCTGGCCAGGGCCGTTCGGCCATTTTTTTAAACAAGAGGTCTATTTGTTCTTTAGAAAAAGAGAAATATACATGAAGTCACATCAGATCAGACTTCTCAGGAAGATGGGCAGAAAAGAAGAATTTGTTTTCACTGAGTGTCCTGTGTGACTCAGAGACTGGTTTCACCATGTTGACTCAAGGAGACCAGCCCACGCTTGCCTGTATAAATGTCTTTTCCCAGTGGCTGTATGAGAAAAGGTCTGCCCTTAGGCTAGTGCTCTGGTAGATGGATGATGGGAAAGCCAGAAGGGAAGGTTAGGAGGTCATGGTCTCTGCACTGGTTTCCACATCCTGCTACATTCCAGGCAAGTTTTGCCTGATAAAGTCACAGCATGTCTAAGCCAGAGGGATCTCAAGGATCAAGTCATCCACCCTTTCTTTTATGGGGTCGAGGTGCTGATGAGGAGATGGACCATGCCAGCACGCCAGATGCCTCCGAAGGGTCAGAACTTTCAGTTTGGCAAAATTGGAAACCGTGGCTGCTGAACGCCTGCATCAGATAAGGAGACTTAGGGCGTAAGCCTGGTGTCTTTCTTGGGTGCGTTGAAGGGCCTCCTACCTCTGGTTCAGCCTTACAGAGGCACACGTGCTCACTAGAGCTTCCTCATTTGGCTCCCAGGTGTCAAGGGCCCTCTCCAAGGGGAGGCCAGAACCCTGAGGGCGCTGGGAACCTGGGTGTTACCATCGCTCTGCTCCTGGGGGAGTGGGAATTCCCTTTAAGGAAAGTCTCTTATGTCAAAGTCATGGGCTGGCACTGGCATGGCAGTAATATTTTTGGTATACCTTGGTTTAGAAAATACCTAATAAAAAATTACCCTGAGGTTAGTACTACTTCAAAATGAGTTTGTATTTTGTTCGCCACAATAGCATCTCTATTTACTTGAAAAATAGTTGTACATTTGTATGTGCTATAGTTGGTAGGCAGGTGGATTTTGATGACCCATTGCAGTAATTGACTGGCTCTCCCGAGCATTAGGGGTCCGCACATTTGGAACCATTGGTTCAGAAGCAGTGATCCGCAGTAAACCAGGAACCCACAGGGGATGACCCTAATCATAGTCAGCTTCTTGTAGAGGAGAAAATGAACCAGTATAAACCCATACTACCAGTTTATGAAATATTTTTATTGCCTTTTTTAATTACAAAAGGATTCAAGCTCATTGTAAAAACCAAAAACATTACAGAAATGTATAACTGAACAATTTTGTGTGCAGTGTTCCAATTTGTTTCTGTGCATAAATAACATTATTAAGATTTTTATAGACATAGATGTTACTGTACATAGTGTTCTCTAAGTGTGTGTATTTTTAGTGTGATGGGTAATTTATTTTAAGGAAGCAATAATGTTCAATGGGAAGAACATTGGGTCTGAGTTCAGGGTGTGAGTCCCAGCTCTGTAATATAGTAGTTGGGTGACTAGCGATACAGGGTAGGCCAAACGTAGGTTTGCAGTTCAGATGGAAAATTATACAATGATTAATAAATAATAATATAAGAATAAACTGTGTGTTTCACATACTCACAACTGTAAACCTACTTTCCCCCCACCCTGTATAGTAATATGCTAGTTGAGTGATTCCAGGTAAGTCACAGATCTTTCTGAGCCTCAGTTTCCAGGTCTCTAAAATGGGGACTGATATTTGTCCTCCTTTCTCACAAGGTTGTTGTAAGGATCCCATGAGATGGTATATAGGAAAGGACTCCTTGTAAACCATATGTATTCCATAAATGTAAAGGACTGTTACTATTGACACTTACGATTTTAGTCCCTTTCCTTTTTACATACTTTGATCCACATCTGTGAATACTTAGCTTGGCGGTAACTTACTTAGTGGTTGCCTTGGAGATGAGTAGTAACTAGCCTGCTCTTTCCCTTTTTCCAGGTCACTCCCGGAAGCAAGGCTGCTATAGCTAATTTGTGTATTGGAGATATAATCACAGCCATTGATGGGGAAAACACCAGCAATATGACGCACTTGGAAGCTCAGAACAAAATCAAGGGCTGTGTAGACAACATGACTCTCACGGTATCCAGGTAAGTCTCGTGGAAACACCCTTTCATTTCTGATCACCTGGAAGCTGCTCGTGGGCAAGGGCTGCGTCACCTGTCTCAGAATCCCTTACATCCCCAGTGCCATGCATACTATTGGCAGGTCAGAAGGTTTGTGGAATTAGAATATGAGGTTGCTTATTTCCTCTCTGATTGTCATAGTGCTTCTTATTTTATGGGCATCTTTCTGCATTTTTACTTGATTCCATACAAATAGCCAAAATTTCGAGGAAGTAAGATTAGTTAACTATTGTCAGATATAATGAAATGAAAACTTTTTCCTGAAAACCGTTGAGAATCTACTCAGGATGTTGCTCCTGCCACACCACGCTGAGCAGTGGGTCCTGTGCCAGGTGATTACAATGACAGAGGAGGCAACCGCCCACCTGACAAAGCGCAGAGTGGAACTTAAAGTGCACGACAGGAAAGGGGAGCTGACTGTTCTCAGCAGACTGATGAGTTGGCAGAGCACACTGGGAGTTATAGCTGGGGGAGAATTTCTGATCTTCTTTCCTCGGGTCTTGGGAGGAACCCTGCAAAGGTGTGATTTCAGGAGTGATTTGGTTCAACCTTTGTGGCCCCGTATTTCCTGTTGGATCAAGTTCACATTCGTCACTCTGATCTCCTGTTATGGTAACCTGCCCTTGAGTGTCTCACTAACCTCAGCTTCCACAGCTCTTCCTCACAAACCAATTGCTCAGGTTGTCATCTTGAAGTAGGTTTGTGGCTTTCCTCTACCTGGTGCTGCAGGACTGGCAGAAGGACCACGCTGGGGGACAGGATGTCAAAAATTTCATATACTTCAGTGCCCTGTCCTCACGGGAGGTCATTTAACAACCGACTGCCTCGCAAAAGCTTGTCTACCCCTCATTCTCATCTCTGTTTCTCTCTCAGTCCAGATCTTGTCTTTCAAGCCTTCGTTCAAGACATTCATTCACTTATTCATTCGTAGATTAATTGATTTTTTATTCATTTACCAACAAATTGAACAGGTTTTCTTACGTATATCTGGTTCTTCTGTATATCTAGGCAGTCTGACAATACAAAGGTAAGTACAAGTATTCTCCCCCTAAGAGAGAAAATAACCTATGCTAATGAAAACTGAGACTAGCCTGAGAGTGTTGCTGTGTGCTTGGTACAAAGAAATCCTTTGCAAGCTCAGAAAAAGAAGCATCACTTTTATGGGGCCAGTTAAGTTTCAGGAATGAGGTGGTTATCTTGTTGGATAAAGAACACTAGGAGAGGCAGAGGAGACGTGGTTCTGGCCTGAGCGAGGTGGGCCGCGTGAGGCATGGTCAGGGCCAAAGAGGAAGCCAGTGTGGCGGGGGGTCAGCAACGGAGTGGCTTGAGGGAGGGCGAGGCCCAGGAGGTCCCAGCAGCTCAGGGCTGAGCATGGACAGCCATTGGATGTGACATAATCAGATTGCTGCTTTCGAAAGATCACTCTGGTGGCAAAATGGAGGAGGGGGTGGGTGGCGGAGTGCTAGTTCAGAAGCCAGGAGTCAGGCAAGAGGGAGCATTTTCCCATTCTGTTTTTAGTATATATTATTTACAGTATTTAGCATGCATGAAATAACAGCTTTGTCAATCTCTTACAGATCTGAAAATAAAGTCTGGTCTCCTTTAGTGACAGAGGAAGGGAAACGTCATCCGTACAAGATGAATTTAGCCTCTGAGCCACAAGTAAGTACTGTGTACCCCTGCCTCTCCTCTCACTACCCAGCATCTTTTATGTTTTTCTAAAACTTTACTTATTGATTTTAGAGAGAGAGAGGAAAGGAAAGAGAAACATCGACTTGTTGTTCTACTCATTTATGCATTCATTGGTTGAATCTTGTATTGGTTGAAACTGAGCGCTGACGGAGGGTCAAACCTGCAACCTTGGTGTATTGAGACAATGCTCTAACCAACTGAGCTACCCGGCCAGGGCTTCTTTTTAGTTTTTGACAAAGCTCAATACACTCCCATTTTTTCCTGTGGCAGGGATTACTGGGTCCTGGCTCCTGTTCAGCTCTTCCCGTAAGGGAACTGTAGGAGGAAAGGGCTGGAAAACCCCAAGGCTGTGACGCCATGGCCTGGGCTGGAAGCTGAGGGTAGGAAGACAATACGGGAAGCGGGCGGAAGCCTTCCTGTGCAGAATAGGGTGGCAGGACCCTGTCAAATAAAGGAGCTGACTCAGCGCATTATGGACTTCTGATACAAATGAATTATGCCAGGGATGAAAGTAAATTTGAGTCCTGAAGCCTAGAAGCTCGAGGAGCGAAGGGGAAATCTGCTAGTAAACTGTGCTGCAATTCCTGGTGTCCCACTGTCTGATTTCCGTGATCCTGAGGGTGGGAATCTCTATTTTTGTTATGGTAAGACTTCTGGTGAGACCTTAACATGACTAAAATGAAGTGGTAATTCATACTGAAAAATGCCGTCAGGAGTCCATGCACCCCCTGAATTTCCTGAGATAGTATACTGTCCCGGGGTCCCAGATTTGTAAATAATCTCTCAGTACTTAAGAGTATAGGCAATTTTATTTCTTTCTTCCTACATTACATCTTCTTAATAATTTACAGGGAATGAGTTTTCTCTTTTTTTTCAATAATGGGAAAAAACTTAAACAAGAAAGTTTAGAACATCTTTGTAAAATACCACACACCTAACGTACCACTTGCACAAAGTATGTGTCTGTTGGACAAATTAATGAATTATTAATGATAAGTTAATAAGTAAATGGCTTTTAAAACATGCTTTTAGACTAGTTTGTGATTATTATCTATTTACTTCCAATTGAAGAATTGAACTTTAATGTTTTTTCCAAATTTTTAAAAATTGTTTTTGGTGAGAGAAGGAAGCATCAATTTGTTGTTCCACCCATTTCTGCATCCATTGGTTGATTCTTGTATGTGCCCCAACCAGAGATCGAACTTGCAACCTTGGGGTATGGACGATGCTCTGACCAACTGAGCTACCTGGCCAGGGCATTTGGAGAGGCTAGTTTTTATGGTAAAATGAGATATAATCAAAAGATAACATAGCTAGCCATCTTTTACACATAAAACAGAAACTCGTATGAAATCGAACTCACTGGGTACGTTAGCATGGGCAAATTGAGTTGTATGTAAGTGACATTTTCTCAAACAGCTTCCATTAAAATGTCAGAAATCCAGTCACACAAAATTTTTTCCATTAATATAATAAAAGTCATACTTAATAATCCTAAGAGGCACATTAAGGATCACTTTACATCAGACATTTCAAAACGGACATGAACCTGTTATTCTGTACAGGTCATGTTAAGACTAAGTTCATAAAATGGGGCTCAGTCTATAAACTCAGTTGTGCAAACTAATTTAAAACATGCCACAGTTAATTCCAGTGTCCCAGGGAGTTCCGGCCACTTCATTAAGTTTACTATAAATGTTAGGTTTTAATGTGTTAAATTCTAATGTATTTTATAATATATAAGGAATGATTTTGTTTTAATTTTGTCTACCTAAAATCCTAGTTTTAACTTAGGGTAATACTTATTTTTATATGTGTTATACTTGAATTTTCATTTTAAACATATAATCTGGTTACCTATATTAATATTTTGGAAGTAGTTCTCATCAGATTAAAAAAATTGTCAAATACTTTAATATCTAACTTGAGTATATATTTTTTTGATTCCAGTAATTCTTTGTTCATATGAAAAATTTCCGACCTCTCATTTTTTTTTGTTCTCCACTTCCAGCCATTCTAAATAGAGTGAGTAGGAGCAGAGTTCATCTATAATTAAAAGATCTGTTAGTTCATGCAATGCCAACCAACACCCCAGCTTATCTTAGGTCAGAGCAGTTACACACCTAGTTTATATTTCCTCATTATTGAGTTTCCTAGGCGACTGATAAATACGAAGCCCAAACAATTACATCATCCCTTCCAAAAGGCAGGCCCTGAATTAACCGCCTGAGTTCTGGAAAGACCAGTATTCACATGGGGTTACAGATATTCTTTTATGTACAAAACAGATATATTTTTGGAAGATTCTCCATAAAGTGAAAACCAGAATGTCCGACCTGAATTCTCTCTTGACTTCCATTCAAAAGGAAAATGGAGTTCTGTGGAGGGAGAAGGGGATGGACACTGGTTGAATGTCTCTGTGTGCCGGGCACTGTGCTTGGCACACTAATATTTCCCACCAAGTCCTGTGAAAGAGGCTTTATTTACTTCATTTTAAAAATGAGAAATGGGCTGAGAGAGAGGTGCATATAACTTGCCCAAAGCTGAACAGGAAGTAACAAGGAAAAACTGAGCCAAGACAGAAAAACATGGGCTGTTCCCTGAGGCTCAGCACCCTGAACTACTCCTAGGAATTGCTGTGGAGAAGAAGAGGGAGGAAAGAACCGCACTCGTGGCTGTAGCTCTGCCCCTGCCCCATGGTGCTGTGGGCCAGCCACTGACGTGGGCCCGCATCCCAGGCCACTGGCCTGCTAGTACACTGCTAGCAATACCTGCATATGACTAGCTGTGCCATAAAATTTACTTAACTATTCTCTGATTACTGCTAGAGTTATTTTCTTAGCTAATTCTACTTACTTCCCCTTTTGCAAATCATCTGTGTGTTCTTAGCTTTGGTCCAAGCATGAACAAAGTCAACTCAATGTCCTTTGTACAAACCTCACTGCTTTTGACTGGCTGAAGAGGGTGCTCGTGTGAATAATGAAAAAGAATATTTTCCTGTTCTGGAATGTTTATTTACTTTAAATCAGCGCACAGTAAATTAAGGTGTTACTTTTCATCATAATGTTTTCTATGAAAGTGTGAAGGACCTGAAGATTTAGCCAAAAGAGTAAAAAAGAAAAAGGAAGAACAAGAGAGAACAGAAACTCTTTGGGGGCAGTTGTTTAGGCCTGGGTGTTAAGAAACAGACCAGAGTTCAGGAAGATAACTGGGAACCCAGAAAACCTGGCACAGGTTGAGTTTAGTCAGCTGTGCAAGAGCGTCTGTTGCCTGGGAGCCAGGGTTGACCCAGACTTGCTAATTGAGTCATCAGAAAAGCCGTAATTTTTTTTTTGTAAAATGTTAGTTTAAAAAAGTTTGGCTGTTTGTAAAAAGCTCTGAGGTGTCGTAGATGTAGTAATTATCCACAACTCCTGGCAAGCCAGCGTGGGGGTGGAGGGCACTTTCTCAAATCGCAGCTCCCCTGGGCACTGCCCTGTAACAAGTATCCCCTACCCCTCATCTGATTAGTGTCGTCCTTCACCCACAAGAACAGATTCTGAATTCCCGTTGTGTCCTTCTGTGGGCGCATTGAGGCTAACTCTGCCTAGTCAGGGGCTGCTCCACTCGGAGTCACCATGGCCGCCCTCTTAACTTGTTTGTCTAACCCTCTCTGTTCTGGGGACTTCATCTCCATCTTCTATCATCTCTGGCTTTGCACTGATGTGAAGTGACTGCCTGTTCTTCTCCTTCTGGTACCTTAGTCCCTCCAGAATGTGCCCTGGAAGGGTGTTTCAGCTCCCGGGCATCAAGCAGTGTCCTGCCCAGGGCTCCCCAGCAGGAGGTCAGCTTCCCTGGGACTCAGGGAAGAACCAGAAGGCAGAGCTGATGTGCGAACCTGCGTATGTGCCCAGCTTGGGACGCTCCCTGGTTGTTGCCCATATTTATTGGGTACGTCAGAGCCCCCTCAGCTGAAGTTTGGTGTTGAGCCAGGGCCTTTGGAGCTCATTGGAACACCTCTTTCCCTGGTGCTCGGCCAGCACTGTCCATCAAGGGGGGTATGTTGCACTCGCCCCCGCCTTGATGTCTCCTCTGGTCTCGGCCTGCAGGAAGTCCGACACATAGGAAGCGCCCACAACCGGAGTGCCATGCCCTTCACCGCCTCGCCTGCCTCCAGCTCTGGCCCCAGGATCATCACAAACCAGTACAACAACCCCTCCGGCCTCTACTCTTCTGAAAACATCTCCAACTTCAACAGCGCCTTGGAGTCAAAGACGATGGCCAGTGGGCCAGAGACAAATGGCAGAGTGTAAGTAGGCGCATGAATCCTCCTCCAGGCCAGGCCCCGGGGTGGGCGGGCAGGCAGGTGGGAAAAGGTTAGAGCACTAGCCCAGGGAGAAAAAGGCCTACTCTAGCACAGTTCCCTCTGTGTTCATTTTCCTCATCTCTAAAAAGAAGGTACCACCTATCTTGTAGGGTTGTTGTAAAAATAAGTAACCTGTAAAATGCCCAGTACTGTGTCTGGCACAAAGTGATCAATTATTTGCTTAGACTTGTGTTGTTATTGTCTTGATATATCTAATCGTCGTCATCTTCAAAGTGATCATCCTCCTTCCTTGACAGCCCCGCTGCTTCCTGAGAAGTGCTTCGGTGTTTACACTTCGGGGTTTCCACTGTGTTTACCATCAAGGGAAAAGTACTTCATGATGCAATTTTTGGTTTGCTTTTCCCCCGATTGGCCAGTAGAAATAATGGAAGAGAAGTCCATGAGGATATAGACATGTGTCCACAGGACCAGGTTCTGACCCAGGAACAGAAGCAGAAGCAGAAGCAGGTTTGCCCAGGGTAGGGGTAGGGCTGCAGGCGGGCAGTGTGGACAGGTCTAAGGAGTCATCTTGCTCAGGACTGAGGAGACGTGTCCCCTCCTGTCCCACTGACCATTTAGCCACAGCCAACTTCTATGTCTTTTTTGTTTTTTTAGTTTTTATTTATTGATTTGAGAGAAAGAAAAATGTCAGTTTGCTGTTCCACTTAGTTATGCGTTCATTGGTTGATTGTCGTATGAGCGGAGATCAAACCCACAGCCTTGGTGTATCGGGACAGCGCTCTAACCAGCTGAGCTATCCGGCCAGGCGGTGCCTCTGTGTCTTTATTCAGCAGAGGGAGCCCAGTGTCTGCTCCATCCCATGCTCTTTGAAGATGAATCCAAACCCTGGGAATACCACAGATCGTGGCGGAGAACTGGGTTTGAAGGTAAAAATGGGACTGGTTTTCTGTGGCTGAAAGGGGGATGGACTACATCACCAGTTGCCACGTCAAATGCCCAGAGGTGGCAGAGATAAGGACACGAGGGCAGAGCTGAGTGCAAACATACGGGAGCAGAGCAGCCCGCGGCAGCTGGCCAGTGCATGCCCCATGCAGAGGGGGAACCACTACTTGGCTCCAGCCAGACACTGCATGCTGGCCTTGGAGTCCCATTTCTGATGATTAATGGCATTGAAGCAGAAGTCCAAATGCCTCTTTTTATCTTTTCTTGAAATTTCTCGATCTTTTAAATGCTGGTGGCAGTCAAATTTGTTGGAAAATTCCGTGTGGCCCAAACTTGTCTGATCTCTGAGGATCAAGTGGAATCTACAGTTCTTATGCTAGCTCCGAAGCCCTTTTTGCTGTTTAGTTTTTCCCCAATTCATCTTTAATGAGAATCTGCCCAGCTCGTAGGGTGATTAAATGACAAATCCATTGCTTCAAATGCAGGGCAGGAGACGGCAAGGCATGAGAGGTTCCAAATGACTTAAATATTTGGGTAAAGCTGGCGTGGGGTAGGGACCTTCTGAGGGCTCCTGGGCCATATCGTTCATCTAGTTCCCCTTTCCCTGAAAAAGACCAGATGGCATCGGGCACCCACTTCATGTAGGAGTCTGTGCCCCGCACTGAACAGCACTGTGAGGTTTCTTCAAATCTAGTAGGGGAGACTTTGCTAGGCGACTCTTGCTTTCCAAGCTGTTAACTGTATTTGTTGTAGTAAGCAAAGCAAAGTGGCTACCAATGTTTCTTCCCTCAAATTTTGATTCCTGCAGTGTGGTACTTGCTTGAGATGATGGTGTCCTTCAGGTGACTGTGGGAGCACTTGAGGTGCCTGAGACAGAGCCCATGCTGGGCCACCCAGCCTTTCCACAAACACACACTGAAGGGAAGCTTTCTCTCCAGCAGCGCAGGGGGCAGCTGAGTGGTGGAAATACCATGGGCCACAATTCCTGTTCTTTGCTGCTTTGGCGCTGGGGGGAGGCTGAGAATGTGACCCTCTGTTACTGTCCCCAAGTGGAATGTTCCATGCTCTGTGTTTAATAACCCAGGAAATGACACATCCTTAATTGAAAGAGCTGCTATGCATTGGGAGAAATGTGTGCCTGGGAGGTATTTTTAGTATGGCCTTGGCCATTAGTCCTTCATTAATGTCTCCTTTCTTCTCTCATGCTCCCCGCCGGCACCCTCCTCTCAGTCTGAAACAATTAAATCTGAAAATGTCTGGACACTGTGCAAGCCTTTCCTCCAGCCCCTGTCCCCTCCTGCTGTGGGCTTTTTGGCTGCTGTGGCCTCTTGAGTCTTTATCAGAAGCCCCTTTTCAGATTTTCTCAGCAGACGGGGCGCAGGTTCTTCTCCACCCCAAACTCTTTGGGAATGAATCCAGAAACACTGGGAATCCTAGGAGCCCACAGCTGAGAAACCGCCTGAGCAGGCGGTGCTGCCTGTGCGGGTGTCTCTGCTTACTGGGCTGTTGCTGGGAGGGCCCGATGCACTCTCAGCAAAGGAAGATTCTCTTGCAAACCCAGCAGCCACCTGGTAACCTTGCTTTCTCCCTCTGCAGAAGTCTGGAGCACTAGCTCACCCCCACTGTTTAGTCTGTGAAATCCGCTGAGATTCCAGAATTGGCTCACTTCATACTTTGCATCTGAGGTCATCACTGATTCCCTGGGGCTCACTCTGAGTTTCTTTGTCCCGTGCACTTCAAAGCGGACTGGTGTGTGTATGTGCGTGTGGCTCTCTGTCATGTAGGACTTCCCAGGGCCATGTCCCCATCAGACAAGAACACAGACAGCATTGTCTTCTCCTAATTTAATTGGGGAGTCAGGCAAGAGGGTGTTTTCTACCATCTGCCCTCCCAGCACACACCCAGCCGAGTGGGAGGGCCTGTGGATCCATTCGGTTTAACAGTGATTTATGGAGTGCCTCCTGTGTACCTGTGGGTGCAGGGAATGTTGCTGTGTTCAGCATTAAGCTTTCACCTCTCCTCGGACCACCTTCAACTGAGTTTAGGGATTCTCGGGTCATTGTCTGGTGATACGGGGCCCAGGTTTCATTTTCTACGGGATGACACTCAATACTTTGCTAAAAGCGCAAGCTTCATACATAGCAGGGCCTGAGCTTGAATTCCAACTCTGCCTCTTACTAGCTGTGTGATCTTGGGCAAACCAGAAAATTCTGAAACGCCATCTTTTTATCATGAAGTGCAGATAATACTGACTACCTCCCCACCAGGTTATTGAGGGAATGAAATGAGATGTGTCAAAAGCACCCGGCATAGTGCCTGGCCCCTGGTAGGTGCTCAGTAAACGCCAGTTATTGCTGATTTCACTGCCCCTGAGGAACTCCATGACCATCACTTCAGAGTACCCAGGGGCTTCCCCCAGAAAGGCAGAAGCATGTAGACAGAGCTCATGGAGAAGATTTTGCTGTGACTTAAAGTAAGCTTCTTTCCCAGCATTGTAGCTTAAGTTCAGCCAACAAGTGCAGTTAATCAGTCACCTTCCTGATGTAGAGGTGGCCTCTTATGGAATAATTGGTTGGATTCCTATAATCAACACAATAGTCCCAAGATACTAGTCCCAAACTGTGCTTTCAGGCAATCTCTTCATATACTCAGGAGGCAGAGTTCCAAGCAGGTGCAGTGGAAATAACGGGATACATGGTTCTATTCAAATGATGTGGGGGGTCATGTTAAGCCTGACTCATTTGGAGCTGGATCAGAAGAAACCTTTGTCATGAAGGCAGCTGTTTGCCCCTCTGGCCAAACTTGCCCACAGCCCACAGAGAACTGGCTCTGAGGTCTGGGTGTTCCTCCTTCTTCTCCCTGTGCCCATAATGACTCCTCTGGTTTCTTATTACAGGCCCAACATCTAGGCCTTGGAAGACTAACACATAGGGAGCGTTCTGGCTAGGCTCCCCTTCTAAACATGATTATGTAGGAGTACCCAGCATTGCATTTTTTGTGGATATGAGGTAACCAGGTTGAGGCCTCTCAGACAAGAAGGATTTTTCTGAGTCAGCCTACCTCCTTAACCCACACCGACATAAAAACCAGGTACTAAAGTCTCCTCTACCTCATTTCCAGTTAGCACTTAACTTGCATCATTTGGGAGAAGGATTCTTAAAACTAATTAAACTTTTTATTGTGAGGTAATTGTAGATTCACATGCAGTTACAGGAAATAATAAGAGAGGTCTTCTATACCCTTTACCCAGTTTCTTGTATAGTGACATCTTGAAGACTATAGCTCATAATATTGACATAAATACAGTCAAGACAACATTTCCATCACCACAAGGGTTCTTCAGGTTGCCCTCTGATAGCCGCACCCACTTCCCTCCTATCCCCACACCCTCCTAAACCCTCGCAGCCCACTAATCTGTTCTGCATTTCTAATTTTATCTCAAGAATGTTATATTGATGGGATCATACAGTATGTAACTTCTAGGGATTGGCTTTTTTTTTTTTTTTTACTTATAATTCACTGGAGATTTACTTAATTTATTGAGATTTTTAAACATGTATGTCAACAGTTCCTTTGTTCTGTTCTAAGGATTTATTTTTTTTTTACTGTGGTAAAAATACATAGCATAAAGTATATCATCTTAACCATTTTCTAAAAAGATTTTATTTATTTATTTTTAGAGAGATGGGAAAGTGGAAAGAAAGAGAGAGAGAGAAACATTGATTGGTTACCTTTTGCATGCATCCCAAATGGGGTCCCACCCGGAACCCAGTCATGTGCCCTGACCAGGAATCAAACTAGTGACCTTACACTTTACAGGACAACACCCAACCAACTGAGCCACACTGGTCAGGGCTGTAACCATTTTTTTTTAAATTTCATTTTTATTTTTGATTTTAGAGAGAGGAGAAGGGAGGGAGAAAAGAGACAGAAAGATATCAATGTGAGAGAGAAACATTGATTGGTTGCTTTCCATAGGCACCCTGACCAGGACTGAACCTGCAACCCAGGCATGTGCCCTGACCTGGTATCAACCAGAGACCTTTTGGTTTGTGAGATGACTCCTAATCAAATGAGCTACACTGGCTGGGGGCTGATCTTAACCAATGTCATAAAGCTCTTCCCCTATATTTTCTTCTAAGAGTTTCATGGTTTCAGGTCTCCCATTAAGTCTTTAATCCATTTCAATTGATTTTTTATATGTCGTGAGATAAAGGTCCAGTTTCATTCTTTTGCATGCAGATATCCAGTTGTGTCAGTACTACTATTGAAGAGATTGTCCTTTCTGCATTGTGTATTCTTGGCACCCTTATTGACTATCATTTGACCATATATGCCAGGGTTTATTTCTGGGCTGTATATTCTGTTCCATTGGTCTAAGAGGCTTATGCAAGTACCATACTGTTTTGATTAATGTAGCTTTGTAATATGTTTTGACATCAGAGAGTATGATACCTCCAGTTTTGTTTTTTTTCTTCAAGATTGTTTTCATTATTTGAGGTCCTTTAAAATTTCGTTTGAATTTCAGGATTTTTTTTCTTTTTTGGTATTTCTGAAAAAAAGGTTTTGAGATTTTGATAGGGGTTACATTGAATCTGTAGATTGCTTTGGGTAGTATTGACATTTTTAACATTAATGTTTCCAATCCATGAACATGGATGTCTTTCCATTTTTTTGTGTGTCTTTGCCGTGCTGATTCAGCTCCTAGAGCCATGGGTGTACTATTCTCCATCCTCCTTAACATTCTGACCTTCACTCCAGCTGCTTGTTTGGATGGAGCAGGCCTGTGTGCCACGTCAGGTTCAGCCTCTGAAATCCTCCTCTGGAAGATCAGCTCAAGGGGAGTTTCTTCTTACGTTCTAAAGACCACTGGCATCCTTAAATGCCCAGCTATGTCAGCCACCTCCATAGGCTGGGAGTAGCCTGTCTGTGATGGCCCTGGGGAGACAGGACCTATGGTCAGTCCTGAAAGAGTAGGAGAAAATATTAAACATTTAGGTAACTGGTGAACATTCAGCACCAAGTATGACTCAGGAAGAAACAAGAACTAGGAAGCATAAGGAGTGCAATGTATGGTTACTCCAAAGGAGCTGAACTTGATTAAACTCAGGTATTTTGTTTCTGCAGTTGTAAGGAATGGGTTTAGGAGAATGTGGTGACTCCTAGCATCCCACCCTCACAAGCTTTCCTCCTGGTGACTCAGGCAGACGTATTGTATTTTTTGAAACCCTATCTCTGTAGAATTCTTTCCTTCATTGCTGTTACTATGTTTAAAAATGACAATGCTTTTTTGGCTCCATTTCGAATGTCTATTTTTGTCTTAGAATTATTTTTTAAGATATGGTGGTGTCTGTCTTTTACTAATACCTTAGATTCTAGTGTCTGAGACTTAGATTTTGTGTCTTAGGATAGTACTTTTGAATTAGGTGTATATCAATGCTTCAGATAAGGTAATGAATGTTGAAAGTGCATTATAAATTGTTAAGCAGTAATGGATATTACCATTATTTGAGAAAAATAGTAAATTGTTTTCTTTTTTTAACCATGTATTGCTTTACAGGACTGTTTGCTAGAAGACCTTATAGTTTGGGTTCTGTCGTTTTCAGCATTCTCTTGGTGGCTTCCAGACATAACAACATACACCGAAGAAAGGGCAAAATTCTCCCTAGGCACATTCCATGGTCTGATCTTGATTTTAAAATAGTTCTAAGTATAGTAGAAAAAAGATTCACCAAAAATAATATAAAACCTTATTGTAGGGCAAGCTCAGAACTCAAGACCCAGAGAAAGGAGTAAGGCATACACTCCAACGATGGGGCCGAGTAGGTGGCCAGAGGAGGAGGACGTGGCTCTTGGTTAAAACTCCTCTTTAAGGCGGTCTATCGAGGCTCCCTATGGGTGGGAGGGACAAAGGCAGCGACCAATCCTGCCAACCTAAGTGATCAGCTGATGACTTGATGACGTCTTCGTACATGTCAACCTTCCCTGGTGGCTGCAGCAAAGCATACGTCACTCCTTGAAGGCTATGTCCTCCGTTGCGAGAACCTGAATGTAGTCAGAGGGGAAACCCGTAGCCCCACCGGTGCCAGTGGCTCTGCTTTCAGCTGGGACCTGAGGATACCAAGTGCCCTAGGGGGCTGACTGGGAAAGAGAAGGAGAAGGAGACAGAGAGATAACTTGGGGAGAATTACTCAGGGAAAACATCTACCTCAGTTTTCTTTTTAAAAGGGCCTGAGAAATAACTACACCATGGGTGGGAAAAGAGTAAGTAGAACATAATCAGTGTAAATCATTTGTATGTGTAGCCATGGCTTCAGCCCTAAGGACAGGCAGTTAGATTCGCTGATAAACTTGGCAGTCACCGCCTGCACCCTCACACCTGGGAGGCAGCCCTGTGGGCTGGATGGCCTGTAGTTTCTCACTCACAAATTACAGTGGGTTTACATACAAACCTACCCGTCTGCTTCGGTAAACTGCACCGCCTTCTGGTATTCACTTTGGCTCCCTGGACACACTGTCCCTCTTCCCTAGCGGGTGGCAGCTCCTGAAAAAGCATCTGAGGCTGAGAGGCAGGAGGTGACCAGGGCCCTGGAGGCTGCGCTGCCCCTTTCCCTGGCACAGGCCCGGGAGGTCCTGCTGCCCCAGAAGATCCCCTGTGACCCCGCAGGAGCAGGGAGAGAGCGCAGCCAGGAGGAGCGAGGGACTTGGCCCACGTGGCAGCCTTCACTCACTTCCCTAATACCTGCTGAGCCCTGACGCAGTGCCAGGCACTGATCCAGGGCAGGGAGCACAATGCAAACAGACCAAGGCCCTGCCCTTGTAGGGAGTACTTTCTAGGGGGTGACAGGCAATAAAGGGACAGGCAACTGCAAATAGAACTCCTGAGGAGAGAGGAGAAAACACAGAGAAAGATACAGAAGAGTAAAGAGGTAGAGTGCTGTGGTGCCGTGCGTTGTTATAAGGGGAGGATCAGGGAGCCCTCTCTGAAGAGTTAATCTAAGCAGAGACATGAATGAAGTGAGGAGGGAGCAGGAAGTGCAGGGGCTAAGGCTACTGGCTTCCAGAAGCAGCCTGAAGCTGGTCCGACTAGAGCCGGCTAAGCCGGGGTGGCAGGGACTATGTTGAGAGAAGAAAGCAGAGCCATATCTTTTATGGCCTTTCTACTTTTTGTAATGAATATTTACTCCAAAGGAGATGAATTTGATTAAACTTGTATTATGTTATTAAAACTGTAAATATTTGGTTCTAAGTTGGATGAGAACACTTCGAGCCACATCAGGACAGTCTGATTCATGTGTTTAAAATACTCCTCTGGCTTCTGGTCGAACATAAGACAAAAGACAAGTTGCTAAGCTGGCCAGCTGTGCTGATACACAATGGCGTAGCTTGGATATGCTGTGCAGATGGGGATACTGAGAAACCCTGGGAGTCGGGTTAGACGGCAGGTAAAACAGACTGGGGTCTCCCTCTCTCCCCCTCCTCTCCTTCCCAAGACCAGGCAGCAAAGCTCCTCTCCTGGAGAATAGGCCCTGGAGGCAAGAGCCCCCAGCTCTGCCTGTCTCATCCTATCTGGGGAATCCAGAAAGACAGGGAAGGTGCTGGAGGTAAAAGGCTCTGCTTGCTCATCCTGGGCCCTAACTGAGGCCTCTGCCCCCGGCCCTGCCAGCGGAACGGAACTTTACAGTTCACAAAAGCGCTTGCGTTTTTTCACCCTCACCACCAACCCTGTGAAATGGAGCAGGGCAGATCCTGTTGTCTGTGCTGTAGGTGGGGAGCCCAGCGCTCCCCGCCGTGAGAATGAGGAGTTTATAGAGACAAAAAGCACTCTGATGTCCTGAGGAATAAAGAACACTGTGATTTCAGCTCTGCGAAAAGGACACACATGGCCTGAACTGAGGGGACCCCGCTGAGGTTTTAGTGGTTAGGTCGTGGTGGACATTTTCCCGTTTCTAAATTTTCTTTTGGCGTAATGTTGTTTATGTAATTTAGAAAGAAGCAAAGCATTTCCCATTCCATGGGATTCGGCCAAAAAGTAATTGAGTGACTGAAACTATTTTGAAAAATAGCTTCTGACTGCATTGGAGCAGCAGCCAGCTCTGGCTCCAGGCACCTCGCAGTCCTGGCAGGAGTTAGGAGAGGCTTCATTCACTAGGGTTCAAGGGTGTCTTTCCTTGGAAGGGGGGGCCCTCGTGAGGTTTTTTCACTTCTGACATGTCTTAATGAATTTCCAAACATTCTTTACAGCTTAGAGCATTCTCAGTCTCCAAGTGGACTCGTCATCGACAAAGAATCTGAAGTTTACAAGATGCTTCAGGAGAAGCAGGAGTTAAATGAGCCCCCCAAACAGTCCACTTCATTCCTGGTTTTGCAGGAAATCCTGGAATCTGAGGAGAAAGGTAATCAGCTCTGCCTGTGGTCAGAGGCTCTTGTTCAAGGCCTAGGGTGAAGGTCAATCATTGTTGAAACAAAGGTGACCGCAGGCCTGGGTGGAAAGAGCACTGTGTACTTTGGAAGGCATGGCTTCAAAATGCTAAAACCTGGGGGAGGGAGAGGGAGGGAGAGGGAGAGAGAGGAAGAAGGAGAGGGAGAAGGAGGAGAGGAAGGGGGGCAGGGAGGTGGGGGGGTGGCGGAAGAGGTAGAGAGAGAATGAATGAATGTGAATGAGCTCCCACCACACCTGGCCTGGCTGTATCCTGTCACATGAACTTGAGGAGGCTGAGGTCATGGTGAGCTTGACGGTGTAGATTCTGTTGGTCTGTGCCTTGAACTTTTATTTGGTCTGCGCCCACATGCACATTTCCGTGGTGGTTGACCTGTGTGAGTGGGTGAAGACCGCAGATGATGACAGGCAGAATGAAAATGAATCAGCAGCACAGCGAAGCCCGGTGCGGGGCTCACATTATCAGGCCTTGTAGTTGTTGCTCTAGGGTGGTTGGCCTCCTGAGAGCCACACCCTTCCCATGTGACCTTTGGCAAGTCTCTGAGCCTTTCCTGGCCTGTTCTCACCTGTCAGTCAGGGATCAAAATCCTTCCTCCTCAGATTGGTGTGAGGATCAAATGTTACAAATTGCACCAAACACCCATCACTGTGACCGACACATAGTAGGTGCTTCATAACTATTATGAGGTTTGAAACCTCATCAAGTGGCTCCAGGCCAGCTTTTGCTTGTCCACAGTGGGAGCCCATGTCCGAGGCACCCAGGGCCACTTGTATGGCTCTACAGATCTCAGGATTTAGTCTTTCCTTTGCATATACACTATACCGGGCATTTATGATGCTCATTTTCAGGTGTTTAGTAAAAGCTTATCTTCATTGAACAATGACAGTATATTGTGAGAAATTTTTGATGGTCAGGTGTGTTGAGGAAGGATGCTTTTATCCATTCTCCCAAGGGCTACCTGTGAGCAGGAGCCCTCAGGCTCACCCGCCTCCCAGGTGGTTGAGAGCCTTTGCATTCTCATGAGCAGCCTACTAGGAATGGCTTCTCTGCAGAGTTGGGCTTTGCACCCCTTCCTGGTCTCTGTGATTCCCAGCCGTGCACACTCTGCCTCTGTCCCTTGCTCTGAGGCACAGGTGCCTAGGAGTCCTGCTTTCTGCTGCTCACTTTTCTCTCCAGTGTTTCTGCCTGTGAAGAGATTGCGGGTACTCCTGGGAGGGACATGTGGCACTTCTGATATGGGTTCTGCTTCAGCCTGGCTCCAGGGGGGTTGACTGGTGTACTCAGGGCAGCCAGTGAAGGTCCGAGCTCAGGGTCCCCTTGAAGAGTAACACCCCTCCTTTTGGGAGTCCTTCATGAACTGAGTGTTCCCTACTAAACACCTCCATCGCACAGGCTTCTTCCCATTTGGGTGGGTTCTTTAGAGAAGCTGGCAGTTTACAGGCACAGGAAATTAGGGGGAAAGTTCTTCTTTTATGCAAAGAGGATATTCTACCAGTGATTCCCCCCTTTGCTTGGAATACCTGTGCAGTTGGGGAGTCATGAGCCCTCCTCTGTACAAAGTCCCACTCTTAGACCCATGCAACAAATGACTTGGGGGCCAGCCCTAGGGGATGACAGTTCTGTCAAAACATTTGAGAAACCACAACTTAAGTGTATGCTGAACTCTTCAATTAAGAGAGGAAAGTTAGTCCATTCCAGCCCACACGGGAACCTAGACAGACGCTGCAGAGCTCTTCTAGTCGAATACCCTCATGTTAGAACAAAGGCCCTGAGGTCCAGGATCACCGAGCTGCCCTGAGGTGGCAGCTCTGTGCTCGTCAGGGTCGGGACTCCATCTTGTGCTCCATCTACCAAGCCTGTGGCTCTGGTTCCCAAGGTTACCTCATGCTCCTAGTTGGCAGCGGTGCTCCAGCCATCATGCCCACTTCCAGGCACCAGGAAGGAAGAAGGGGGGAAGGGCTAATTGGGGAGACCCCTTCCAGGTGTGCCAGCTTTCTCCTTCCCAGAAGTCCCAAACCACCCAGTTTCATTTTGACCAGAATTTAATCACATGGCCACACCTAGTTGCAAGAGAGTCTGAGAATGATAGTTTTTCCCCCCTGGGCTGAGTATCTTCTTGTCCCAAAGAAAATAAAAACTTTTGCAAAAAAAAAAAAAACAAGAGGGAGATGATGGATCTTGTAGTTTCTCCCAAATCCCTTCATATATATTTGCATTAAATTTTTACTGAAAGAAACAGTATAAGTTCCAATCTAAACCTCCCCCATTTGTAGAAGGCACTCGGAAGGGAGCTCAAATGCCTGTTTTTATCTGAGATGAAATAGTCAAAGCCCGGGGCAGTGACGGCCACATCATAAACACCCCATCAGGGCTACTGTCATCCAAGAAGGCCTCTGGTTTGTAAAGCAGTGCCGCGTGGTAGGAAAAACACTGACATTCAGGGTCTGCCCATGACCCGCCATGAAACCCTGAGCAAGTTGCTCGCCCGTCTAGGCCCTCGCTTCGGCGCACATCCAGTGAGGCTGCTAATGTCTGCTTCGCGGATGGTTAAAGCATTAAGGGAAGTGACACAGTCAGTGAGGCCTCCACAGGTTGGCAGCAGGGTTTGGTGATAACCCTCCAAAGACTCGATGTGGGACTTCTCACTTTGAAACTTGCAATTTAGTAGCATTAAGTACATTCATACTGTTATGCTACCGCCTTGCAGAATAAGAGACTCTACCCACTAAACACTAATAACTCGCTGCCCGCTCCCCCAGTCCATGGAAACCACCATTTGACTTTTCTGTTGCCAAGACTATGACTACTTCAAGTGCTTCATATGAATGGAGTCATACAGTAGTTTTCACTCTATGACTGGCTTATATCACTTAGCATAATGTCCTCAAGGTTCATTCATGTGGTAGCATGGGTCAGAATGTTCTTTCTTTTTAAGGCTAAACAATATAATACATATATACCACATCTTGTTTACGCATTCATTTGTCCATTGGGGGTAACTTTTAATGAGAGGAAACTTGGAAGGAGACATCATGGGCTGAGAAAACCCGCAGAGAAATCACAGAGGCTCTGAGATAAGACAGCTGGACTTACTAAGTATTGAGGTTCATTATGGCTAATGCCTGGTGTTCCAGGAGAATCCTTGGATGTGGAGTCAGACCACTGAAGACCACCAGGTGCTCTGTCAAGGACCATGAATTTGCTTCGATAGACCATGCGGAGCCCTGGAAGGTTGTTGAGCAGTGAAGTGGATAGAAAGCAAGTTGTGCTTTACTTATTTTCACTTTTTTTCCAGAAAGCTTTGAGATGCAAGGTTCACTGGAAGAAGGAAAATCTGGAAATTTTTTTAGTTGCCCAGAGTCCTAAGGGAGCTGGTATTTTTACTGTAAGTTGGTTGAGAGAGAAGTAAAATGAAATTTCCTTGAGCTTGCAGTGTTGGCTGAGTATGGGGGGAGAAAAAAACCAAGCCAGCAGGTGGCACTGCAGGCCTGAACAAGCCGCTGCCAGGATGCCTTTATCCAGCTGCTCCTGCTGCGCCCAATTTTGAGTTTACTTCTTATTTCACAAAGGGATGTGGATTCTCTGCCTACTGCATGAGGCGCTCACGTCTTTCCTTCCTTCTCTCTTTCTACCCTCTTGCGCCCCTTACCCTTTTCTGCTAATTTTTCTGGGGATTGAGAATAAGTTATGTGGAGGAGAGCGCAGAGACCCTGACTGCACGGAGTTGGTTCCCTGAGCACAGTTTACCTTCTAAGCTGTCCAGCTCTCAGACGTGCTGCCATTTCTTTTCGCAGAGGGAAGGCAGCCAACGTGGCTCCAGCCCCAACAGCCTGAACCTGAGGGAGCCTATTTGGGATATTGGAAAGCATGAAGCTGCCCCTGCAGGACCTGTAGGGTCCAGGGTCAGGGTGAGGTGAGGGAGCCATCTGCCTTCGGTACAAAATTTAAGGGGTGACCTGACCTGTGTGGCCTAGTTGGTTGGGTATAGTTCTGCAAATCAAAAGGTCACCAGTTCACTTCCCAGTCAGGGCACATGCCAGGGTCGTGGGTTTGGTCCCTGGTTAGGGCATGTGGAAGAGGAAACCAATATCCATGTTCCTCTTATCGATGTTTCTCTTCCTTCCTTTCCCTCTCTCTAGAATCAATTAAAAGAAATTTAAAGGGGCACCAAAAACTCACTAATCAAGACATAAATGATACTTCAGTGCAATATTTAAAAAAAATCAAAATTAATACAAAAAGTTTATAATGAATAAAGTTGGAACTGTGGCCAAGAAGGGAGGAAGTTTGGGGGAGTCAAGAAGGTACTTTGGGTTGAGCATAACCAAAGCACCAAGGCGGTTTCCCTGATGCACCTGCTGATGGCCCAGCATCGAGCCTTCTCCAAGCCCCCCTGTACAGCTCTCAGCTGGAAACGGTGGAAAACCAGAGCCTCCTGATCTCTGCCTCTTCTCATGTGTTGCCAGGTGGACATCTGTGTTCATCTGCTCCCCCGTGCAGGATGCTCCCAGGCCTGCTGGCGAAAACCTGAGACACTGTGCCATAAACACCCCTGCCGGGCCATTAAAATCCCAGGCTGCTTGGAAATACTCTCTTTTGTTGTTTTCCAAAAGGCGGCCAAGTACCCCACGTAACTGAAGCTAGCTCTCTCATCATATTAGTCAGCAGTGGGCTGCAGCCACAAATGTACTCCTTGCTCCTGCTGTGGCGGGCTGTTGATCAGTGGTGGCTTGGCAGGGCTGTGCCTGGCTCCATGGGTCTTCTCATTCCTGAGCCTGGCTCACATCTCCTTCACATCCCATTGACCAAAACAAGTCATGTGGCCAAACTCAAAGTCTGTGGGATGAGGAGGTTCACTCCACCAAGGGCAGGGTTTCTCAACCTACCTGCTGTTGATATTTTGGCCCAGATGAGTCTTTGTGGTGGGGCTGTCCTGTGCATTTTAGGACATGAAGCAGCATCCCTAGCCTCCACTTACTGGATGCCAATAGCATTCCGCTCTAGTTGTGACAACAAAAACTGTTCCCTCGGGTACAAAATCAGCCCTAGTCGAGAATCACTGACATAATGGGAAGCATGGCGAGGGTAGGGAGGGTACAGAGAATCGTGGACAGAATATGTAATCTACTATGCTCAACCTATTTTAAATTCCCCTTATTTGAATACATCTCGGTCTTTGGTTTAGAAGCACCAGTCAACATACGGGACTCAATTTCTAAAAGCATAGAAGAGCCAGGGTCCTCCTCTGTCCACCCCAGGATTTCCCTGCATGGCTGCAGTTTCAATGACCCTGCCCTCACCCCTGTGCCCTACACAGAAAGTCATTGTTGGGGCTCTTATGTAGCGGTTTTCAAAGTGTGGTTCCTGGACCAGCAGCACTAGTGGCACGTGAGAACGAGTTGGAAATGCACATTCTTGAGCCCTACCCTGGGCCTGCTGCATCAGAAATGGGTGAGCCCAGCAGTCTGTTTTAATAAGCCCTCCAGGTGATTCTGATGCACAATAGAGTTTAAGAACAGCTGCTTCCGTCTAAGGAATCGGGGATAGGACAGGATCTCCTGGGGACCCTGCACCCAGGCCTGGGGTAGAGCCTGGTCTGGGAATTCTATGAAATCTCTCCTGGTACCTGGGATGCTCCTGGGAGCCCGTTCGGAACTGCTGTTGGAGAGACTTCTCTAGCTTCTTGTGCCAAAGCCTGTTGGACTAAGGTAGGGACCATCATGCATTTGTCATGACATCTCATCATTCATTTCCTGGTATTTGTTGAGACCCCATGCTAGGTTCTGTGGACTGTTGAAAAGTATATAGAACAGGGTTCTGGTGCTCTATTAATTTGCAGTCCAGACAGAGATGTATGTACACAGCTGATGAACGTAACAAGACAACTAGGCCAGGTCACAGTAAAGAAATACGTGATGTGGAAACATAACCAGCCAGATACATAGCAATAGTAGTAAAATTAGAAGCTTACCATTGTTGGTAGCTGCTATGACATAGGGCTCTGAAGATGTGACGAGCTGGGCTATACTTGGTTCAACACACAGCAGCTAGGAGCTTATTTCATACACACGAAGCTGACTTCAGGAAGGCTGCTCACTGTGCTCCGCTGGCTGCTTGTCTTGATCTCTTCTGTAGTGACTTTGTTCTTGTGAATTGGATTTCTTTCAGTATCTGAACACAGCCTTTCAGTGATTTACTTATTCTATCTAAGGCATTGTTAACTTCCCATAGCAGTGCTTGCATGTATTTAATCAGAATGTCATGCGTGTTTTGAGGACTGAACATATGTCAGATACAGTGGGGAGGGCGTTACGTGCATTTTTAAATCCTTTTGTGCCACTGTGAAGGAAAAAAGTGATTTTTTTTTTTTTAAGGAAAGGAATGTGGGAACCAGAGAAGTTAAGTAAGTTGTCCAGGATCACACAGCCGACTGAGGTCTGTTGGACTCCGCTGCCCACGACCTTGCTGGAACATACATGTAAACAACTCTGAGAAACTCAATGATACTTACACAGTCCTGCAATCCTGCCCTTCCTGACCAACCCAAGTGTTTTCTTCATTTTAGGGGATCCCAACAAGCCCTCGGGATTTAGGAGTGTTAAGGCTCCAGTCACTAAAGTGGCCGCATCAATTGGAAATGCTCAGAAGCTGCCCATGTGTGACAAATGTGGCACTGGCATTGTGTGAGTATCTGCTGTCCCTGAACACTGGGGGGCCTTCAAGTTGAGTAAACCACAAAAATATGGAAAGCGCTGAATGTTACACGTTTTGGATGTGATAGGAAAAAACATCCTACTTGGAATATGGAGCAGAGAAGCCAGGTAGGCTCCGTGTCCCCGAGCCAGGTGGTGACAGTTTTCTGTGGTCATAGAACCCTTCGGGTGTGAACATATAAAACTCAAAGAAGCAGGCCTACTCTGTTGAAGCGGGAGAGACTTCTGGAAGGTTTCAAGAGTAATGTCTCTGGACCCCAGGGATGGGAGGTCCCTTTATCCATGGAGGTCTGTTGGGAGGCCCTGATCTGCCTTTTGATGGCCTCTTGGGAGGGGCCCCTGGCCCTGGTGCACCGCCTTCCTGTGCTTGTCGCTAATGGAGCCACTTCCTTGCCTCCCTTCTGCAGTGGTGTGTTTGTGAAGCTGCGGGACCGTCACCGCCACCCCGAGTGCTACGTATGCACCGACTGTGGCACAAACCTGAAACAGAAGGGCCATTTCTTTGTGGAAGATCAGATCTACTGTGAAAAGCACGCCCGAGAGCGGGTCACCCCACCCGAAGGCTATGACGTGGTCACTGTGTTCCCCAAGTGAACCAGCAGATGTGCACGAAACCCTCTTCTCCAAGGAGCCCCTGTTCCTCCATGCCCTGGCCCTCTCCTCTCTTGGAAGTTCTGGCTTACTCTGGTTTTATCTTTGCTCATTAAAAGTTGCGCCCTCTGCCTTTGCTCACTGACTCGCACTGCTGCGTGATGCCTGCTTTTATAATAAATGGAAGATTGTTTCATTCAGTGTCCCCTTGCCAGCATCGCTGTGTCTTCTCTTCACCTCAGTTCATCTCTGCTGCAAACGGACAGCCAAATTTGAACCAAACTGAATTTAATATGTCTGTCATCGATTTTGTTTTTACTCAATAAATTTATAGACTTTAAGGCAGTGTGGTGCCCTTTATCATTTGACCATGTATCCTATTTCCTATCTCAAGCCAGATGAGATTTCTGAAACCTTTTCTCTTGTTCTGGATTTCCCACTTCTCTGAGATTTTTCCTCCAGATATGAGAAATCTGGCATCTGAATTTTGAGGCTTGCTCCAAGTTATCTTTGTATCTTTTGTGCTAATAAAAGATCCTCAGTCTTTTTCAGCTTTATCTCTTCAGCGCCAGGCAGAGAGATAGTCCACAAACGTTTGCTGAATTAATCCATAAATGAATGCTTTGTCACTGTCCAATAGAAATGGGATACACACCATGCATGTAACTTTCTAGTAGTCACATTGAAAAAGAAAAAAGCAGATAAAGTTAATTTTAATAATACACTTATTAGCGCCATATATCTAAAGTATCCTTTCAGCATATGCCACTAACTACTGTATTGGACAACACCACCTTATCCTTCAAAGCAAAGGCATCTTGGGTTTTTGCTTCCCTCCTACGTACCACCTCCTGTTTCCTTGTTCCTCTGTCTACGATATCTCTTCCTAATTGCCTTGTGCTTTGGTTTCCCAGTTTTGCCTAACCTCCACTAGTACTGCTGTTTGGAAGGCACCCTGTTGATCTCTCCAGCCAAACCCAAGGACCTATTGTGCTCCTTGGCCGTTTTGCGTACTCAGTGGTATTTCCATCAGTGTTGACCTAGCGCTTTGGTTAGCATGATCCTGATCTTTCTGGGGGCACCTTCTGTGTATCTTGCCTCCTGGGTCTCTAGTTGTCCCCTTACCAAAGTCAAGAGGTGACTCTTTCCTTGGGTGCTGCCTTTCTTTGCTTATAAAACCAATATGACTGAAGTTTCAGGAAATCAAAGCAAAGGCCTTTGAAAGGGTTTTTTCTGACCCACTTTTATTCTCTGTTGCTGATAAGGCTGAGCATTACCTAAATTTTACCTGCATTTCTATTTCCCCAGATGCCTGAGCTGTTCCGAGCGTCCCCAGGTCTAAGGGGCTCAGAGGAGCATGCGCTTCCTCCAGAGCTGCAGAATGCCTGGGTGACGGCCTGAAAGGAGAGTGGTGTCTTGACCCCTGTCTGGGAGCAGGAAAATACCAGTTGGGGGGCATCTGGTCACAATTTTCTTATGTCACGGGAGGTTTTTAGGACTGGCTTTCATGAATAGAGGTGCTGAATAGAAAGCAAGAGGAATTTTTAGACACAAGGCTTTTTTTTTTTTTTTTTAAGGTTTTATTTATTTTTAGATAGAAGGGAAGGGAGGGAGAAAGACAGGGAGAGGAATATCAATGTGTGGTTGCCTCTCATGTACCCCCTACTGGGGATCTAGCCGGCAACCCAGGCATATGCCCTGACTGGGAATCAAACTGGCAACCCTTTGGTTTGCAGGCTGGCGCTCAATCCACTGAGCCACACCAGCTAGGGCATAGACACAGGCTTTTAAAGAATAGTTGCAAGAAGTAAATGTTCTCTTCCGTTCTGAAAATGCATCTGGTCTGAGAGGATAAATTAAAGTCCTCATAATCTTTTGTTTTAGGAATAATGATTAGGATCTAGTAATTCCATATTTCCCCCATGGCCAGGTTAAAGAGCCCTGATTACAAAAGGAATTTTTCAAGCCCTCTAGAAATTTGTTTCTTACATTTTAATGGGCACAGGAATCACCTGTGGACTCTTTAAGATGCAGATTCTGATTCATCAGGTCGCAGATTCTGCAATTCTAGCAAGTTATGCTGATGCTTCTGGTCTGTGCATCACATTGGAGGCAAGTTTTCGACAACACTGACTTTGCCATAACTCAGGAGTAATTAGGCTACAATATTGCAATTCAGTTGACTGTTAGGGAATATATATCACTATATATATTCAAATATTTTATTTATTTAGTTTTAGAGAGAGGGGAAGGGAGGGAGGAGAGGAAGAGAGACATCGATGTGCAAGAGAAACATTGATCAGTTGCCTCTCGAACACCCCAACTGGGGACATGTCCTGCAACCCAGGCACGTGTCCTGACTAGGAATCAAACCAGTGACCTTTCAGTCTGTGGGGCGACGCCCAACCCACTGACCCACGCCAGTCAGGGCACCACAATATATTTTTAAATTCAGGTATAATTATGAACAATAAAATTTATAGATTTTTTTTTTTAGTTTTGATTATTGTGTATACCTCAATTAAAATATAGAACCATTTCCATTGTCCCATAATAACCTTTGCTTATGTCCCTTCCGGTCAATTTCCTCCCACCCCTGACCTCACCCCAGGGGTAACACACCCCAGGTAAACACAAGGTCTCTCAACTTGCCCTTCCCTGCCCTCTCAGTGGCTATCCTCCTGACTTAAGGGTTGCAGCAGTGGAAAGGACTGGTCTCCATTCTTCTTGACCTTTGACCTTCATCCCTACTGCTCTTTTGGCTGGAGTCACCCTGCATGTCACATAGGTCTGCAGGCTTAGTTTCTGAAGTTCATTGTGTTTCATGGAAGCACACCTTAATTTTCTTTTCAAAACGGAATGTGAAATAATTACACCACATGTAAGAAATGAGTGAGTAAAATACGGTCAGTGTAATTCGTTTCTAGCCATGGCTTCAGCCCTAAGGACAGGCAGTTAGATTCGCTGATAAACTTGGCAGTCACTGCCTGCACCCTCACACCTGGGAGGCAGCCCTGTGGGCTGGATGGCCTGTAGTTTCTCACTCACAAATTACAGTGGGTTTACATACAAACCTACCCGTCTGCTTCGGTAAACTGCACCGCCTTCTGGTATTCACTTTGGCTCCCTGGACACACTGTCCCTCTTCCCTAGCGGGTGGCAGCTCCTGAAAAAGCATCTGAGGCTGAGAGGCAGGAGGTGACCAGGGCCCTGGAGGCTGCGCTGCCCCTTTCCCTGGCACAGGCCCGGGAGGTCCTGCTGCCCCAGAAGATCCCCTGTGACCCCGCAGGAGCAGGGAGAGAGCGCAGCCAGAGGAGCGAGGGACTTGGCCCACGTGGCAGCCTTCACTCACTTCCCTAATACCTGCTGAGCCCTGACGCAGTGCCAGGCACTGATCCAGGGCCGGGAGCACAATGGCAAAAGGACCAAGGCTCTGCCCTTGCAGGAGTTTCTGTCTGGGGGAGACAGACAATAAAGGGACAGGCAACTGCAAGTATAAGCTATGGGGAGAGAGGAGAAAACATGGAGAAAGATACAGAAGTAGTAGTGCTGGGGTGCGGTGGGCTGTTTTAAGTGGAGGGTCAGGGAGCCCTTTCTGAAGAGTCACATCTGAGCAGAGAGACAAGCATTTCTATATTTACAGTCTTTTTTTAAAAAAAAAGTCATGTTTATTCTACTACAGTTGTCTCAATTTTCCCCCTTTGCCCTCCTCCACCAATCCCACCGCCCCCCCCCAATTCCACAGTCAATTCCCACCCTGTCGTCCATGTCCATGGGTCATTCATGCATGTTCTTTGTTTAGTCCCTTCTCCTTCTTTCCACCATTGTCCTCCTTCCCCATCCCCTCTGGTCACTTTCAGTCTGCTCCATGTTTCCTTGCCTGTGGTTTATTTTGTTTATTAGTTTATTTGGTTGAATAGATTCCACTTTTAGGTGAGATCATATGGGATTTGTCCTTAACTGACTAGCTTATTTTACTTAGCATAATATTCTCCTGTTCCATCCATGTTGTCGCAAAAGGTTGGAGTTCCTTCCTTCCTTTCTTCCTTCCTTTCTTTTTTCTTTCTTTCTTTCTATGCAGATTTTATTTATTTATTTATTTTAAAATGCCAAGATCCATTATAAAATATTAAACAATTTAAATCCATTATAATGTCTCAGCAATCATGACACCTGCACAGAAATAATCAAGTAGATCAATGAAATAAAATGAGTATTCTAGAAACAAACATATATCTAACTGTAATATATGATTAAATTGATATTTCAAATCAATAGGGAAAATAAGGCTTAACAAATAAGATGCATGGACCACCATTACTTAAAATAAAACAAATATAGAGCCCTATTTCAACATTATACAGAAAAATATTGAGGTGAGTTAAAAATGAATCTGTAAAATCTAAGGAGTTTTAGAAGAAAACACAAAATAATATTTTTCTTACCCTGAAGTAAAATATTCAAACCCAGAAGCTATAAAGTAAAATATTGACAATATGGCTATATTAAACATTTAAGACTATACAGTAATATACATATAAAAAAAAGTTAAAGGACAAGTAATAGAAAGAGAAAGTATTTGCCACACATCTAAAAAAGGGTTAATAGTTCTTTTTTAGGGAAAAAAAATCTACAAACCTTTAACTGATAAATGGATAAAGAATACCAAAAAGTCATTTAAAGCTTTAAAAAAAAAATGGAAATAGGCAAGAAATAAACAAAAACAGATTTAGTTTCAACAAATAATAAACAATTAAAATAACACATCGTTGTCACAGATTACAACGTATTAAGAAATATTGGTAATATCAAGTATTGGCAACCCTGAAAGGAACTGGGTATTCATAGACTCTTTTTCTTCACCTTCTTAAAGCAGTGCCTTTAGTATCTTTCGAAATGCTGGTTTGGTGGAGGTGTATTCTTTTAGCCTTCTTTTGTGTGGGAAGCTCCTTATTTCACCTTCCATGTTAATTGACAGCCTTGCTGGGTAGATCAGTCTTGGTTGCAGGCCTTTGCTTTCATTACCTGAAATATTTCTTTACATTCCCTTCTGGCATGCAGTGTTTCCATTGAGAACTCAGCTGCTAGCCATATCGGGGCTCCCTTACATGTTATGATCTCTTTCTCTCTTGCTGCCTATAGGATTCTCTGTTTGTCTTAGATATTTGCCATTTTAATGATGATGTGTCTTGGAGTGGGCCTCATCGGGTTTCTCTTGAGTGGGACCCACTGTGCTTCCTGGACTTGTGGGACTTTTTCTCTCCTCCAATTAGGGAAGTTGTCCATCATTACTTTTTCAAACAGGTTCTCTATCCCTTGCTCCTCTTCTTCTCCTTCTGGTATCCTTATTATATGGATATTATTAAGTTTCAGGTTGTCCTGCATTTCCCTTAATGCCTCTTCATTTTTTTTGAGACTTTTTTCATTTTCTTGCTCTTTCTGGGAGCTTTTTTCTATCTTGTCCTCCAGCTTGCTGATTCGATCCTTGGCTTCACTGGCCTGCTTTTGATTCCTTCTATTGTGTTCTTCAATTCAGAAATAGTATTCTTCATTTTCTCTTGACTCTTGTTGATAGTTTCTATGTCCTTTTTCATGCTGATCTAGTTTGCAGTAAGTTCTTTGTAGTTTCCCCATAGTTCTTGGTAATTCTCTCTGAGCTCATTGAGCTTCCTTAGTACCATTGTTGGAACTCAGTATCTGATAATTTACTTGCCTCTATTTCATTTAGTTCTCTTTGTGGGGATTCTTTCTTTCCCTTCAACTGGGGGATGTTTCTTTGTCTTCCCATTATGTGTGAGACTCTTCTTTTGTGTGTCTTCTTCTTAAACTAATCTGTCTTGATTTCCTGACTTTGTGGTGTAAACTTCTATGGTAGGAGACTGCTGTTTTTACTTTCTGGGTCTGCCTCTGATGATGTCAGATGTTGTCCCTGTCTGATCTTTGGCAGTCTGTCGGAGACTTCCAGGAATCTACTGTTTCTGGCTCTCTCCTTCAGCTGTTAATCTAGTCACTATGTACTCAGCAGGCTGGCTTAGACAGCTCAGGGTGGGGCGGAGTCCCTCCTGGGTGCAGGGTCATTGGGTCCTCTCACACTGTTGCCACTCAGGGTGGTCCCTGGCTGAGCAAGATGGCTGCTGCCACATTGGGGAGGAGTCACCACTGGGATCCCCCTAGCTATTCTCTCCATTCTCTCCCCAAAGCTTCCATCCCCAGTCTCTCCTCAAGTGTCTCCAGACCACTCTGTGCCCCCTTTAGCCAGGGATCTACCATCTGTGGCATCCACTCTGCACTCAGCAGATGGCTTTGACAGCACATGGACGGGCAGAATCCCACCTGGAGGTGCGGCTATTGGGTCCGGTGCCACTCCTGTTGCTCAGGGGGAGTGGTCTCCGCCTGAGTAAGATGGCTGCTGCCGCATGGGGATGAGTCAGCACCAGGACCGTGCTGGCCACTCTCTCAGTTCTCTCCCCAAAGCCTCCTTCTCCCGTCTCTCCTCAGGCGCCTCCAGCCCACCTGCCCCTGCTTTTGCTGGAGTCCAAGGTAAGTGGCTGACAATAAAAATTTATGCATTGGCCCTTTAAATGGCTCTTTCTATCTCCAGCTTCCTATCTCTGGCAGAGAGCAACTTTTCACAGCTGGTTGTTTTCTGTGTACTTTTTGGGCTCTGCTGCTGTAGGTTGGAGATCCTCTCTTTTGGTTTAGACCCCACTCTTCTTAGGGGGATCCAACTGGCCCTTTCACTACCCTTCTGGTGCTGCTGCCCATTTGTGCCCCGCCCGCATTTTTGAGTGTCTACCGCACTCCTTACCAGTTAGATTGTGCTAAAGCCGATTCTTCTGTCTCCGAGGTTATAAGGCTCCTCTCTTGCTATTGTTCAGTTGTTTGTTCCAGGTGATTTCCCCACAATTTAGTTGTAATTCCAGATTGGTCCTGGGAGGAGGTCAGTGTGACTTCCACTCACCCCTCTGCCATTTTGATTCTCTCACTTTGTTTCTATTCCTTATTCTTATTATTTCTCTTCCCTCTGTCCTCTCAAAATCATTTTTCTTCCCTTTAGTCATCCCATACCCTTTTTTTCCTTATAATATTCTTATTCTCTTTTCACCTTTATTAATCTTTCCCCAAGGAACTCCTATCTTTTGTGACAGTATGCATGGAACTGGAGACTTGTATGCTAAGTGAAATAAGCCAGTTGGTGAAAGACAAGTACCATATTATCTCATTTATAAGAGGAATCTAATGAACAAAATAAACTAATGAGCAAAATAAAAGCAGAGACATAGAATCATGGAATAGACTGCAGTGGGAAGAGGGCAGAAAGAAAGTGTGGACTGTTTGAAAGAGGGTGAAGGGAGTAGTCAAAGGATATATTGGAAGAGCCCATGCACATGGACAAGAGTGTGGGGATTGACTATGGAAGTGGGGGGGTGTGGGCTGGGTGAAGGTGGGCTAGGGGGAAAAATTGGGACAACTGGAACAGCATAAACAATAAAAGAAAACCTGCTCAAAGTCACCCAGCTTAAGTCAGAGCCAGAATTTGAACTCAGGAGTTTGACTGCAAGCTTGTGATTTTCATCATGGTATTTATTGCTTTCTGTCTTTCCACGTTTGAAATTAATTCAGAATGAAAATCAGGTTTAAATATTAATAAAAGAAAACAAAGAAGCTATATCAATATGTTAGCCATGATTATATCCGAGTAGTAAGTTTACCAGTGATTTTTGAAAATATTAATCCATAGTAAATGCAAATTCCTTTTACACGGAAAACAATTTAGGTGAAAAAATATGACTCAGGCCGTGGGCTGTACTTTTAGCCCAGCCAGCCTCTTAGAAGTGTAAGGATCACACCATTGGTCCTGAGCAATAAGTCACTCATATCCCTTCGCTACATAGTAGCCCTTTCAAGGGTTCAAGGATGACTGCAGTGGTGCAAGCTTGGATCAGAAAACGTTTGAAACTGAAGCCCTACTTGATACCTACTTTTCTCCTCCTACCAAGCCCCAGCAATTCCTATGAATAGGGTAAAGATGATGCATGTTCCTTGAGGTTTTATCTATTCAAACCTCACTTGACTAACACATAAAACTATCTCATTCAAGAAAAATTCCCTGAAATGGTTCAAAATATTAGTTGAGACCAGTACTGTTAAAGAGATGAAAAAAGATTACCAAAAAGATCACCCTTTTTTAAAACTTCTCCAATCTCCAGGTTTTCAGTCCTCAGTACTCCTCTACCCCACTGTGCAATTCCACAGAGTCATGACCAGGAAGTGCTGAATTCATTCACTCCTAGAAAACATTTCAACCAAGGAAAGGATATCAAATAAAATTCTCCTAATTGTAGTAGGTAGATCCTTCGAAGGGAAAAGTTTATTGACACTGATAAGAAAAGCCAATATACTGTTCTTATGAACCTTGGTCTCCATTATTCCCTGATCCCTCCAGTTGTTGTATTCTACCTGCTGTTCCTCCTATCTGTTTCTCTCTCTCTCTCTCTCTCTCTCTCTCTCCACCACCACCCAACTCTTTTTCTTTCTCCTACAGATTATAGGCATAACCACACATACACACAAATATCCAAGAGACTTTTCTGTTAATATTTAATATTTATATGTCTTTCTCATTCATGGATTCATTTGAATATTATCATCAGTAATTATCATACGGAGGTTACAGATGAAGAGCTGAGTATGGACATAGAAGAACATAGAGAATAGCGAATAAATGTGCACAGTAAAACTTAGGAAATTCCCTTTAATGGAGATTGGATGTTCACTGGAAGGAATGAGGAGATATGAAATGGGAGGTCAGGGAAGACATTCTTGGGAAGGGGGTGAAGTGTGAAGGAAGTGAACAAACCCCCCAGAGGCATGGGAGATGAGGATGACAACACAGCAGCAGCCAGGAGGTCTGCTCTTCCTTCACACAGGAATGAAGCAGAGCTGGTAAGGAGGTGGCACTGAAGCAAACCCACTGGCAACAGGAGTAACGTCGATGTCCTTTGGGTCGACCACAGATTTCAAGGTAAATTTCTGTAATATGGTGGTCAGGAATAAAAACAGCTCCATGCGGGCCAGGCCCTCTCCGGCACACAACCGTTTTCCTGCAAATAACACACACACAGAGCAGAACTCCTTGGACACTGATTTCCTGGATACCAGAAAGAGAATGTGCAGAAATTATTTGATGAACTGTTGAATGGGTGGATGGAAGGCAGAATAGTTGGACAAACAGATGGAAAGAAGTGGACATATATCTTACTCACCTAACATCTTATCCTAACAGGTACTCTTCTTTCAACAAATAATTATTATCAGCACTATACCAAGTATTTCATTAAGTTTTCTCAGAGTATACTTTCTCTTTCAAGTTTCCATCAATCTTTTTGTAGAAACACACATACTTTGGTTGTACTTTCTGTTCCTAGCTTGATCTTTCATGATCTCTCTTCACATTCTTCACAGCCTCTGTTCTTGCTCTAACTACACCTGTTCTTCATCAATCTCCAACACACCCTGAGTTTCAAGTTCTACACAACACTGCTCTTTTGGGTTGGGATGCGTGCACTTCTCTTGTATTTTCAGCACCAAGCTCCAATTTCATTTCTGATTTGGAAGAACTGGGTCAACTCTCCAAAGTGCCAGTGATCTGGCCTAGTAATGAGGCTGTACCACGAGGAGGGAAACTGTGTGGGCACTGGGAGTGAGGCTTCCAGCTATGGGCAAAGAGCAGTTCTCCCAGTCCCAGAGTGAGCACTACGCAAGTTCCAACTGATCCCCAAAACATATCCTGCCCTCTGAAGTGCAAAAGAAAATAAATTTATATTACCTGCTGAGAAAACCATGAAGTAGTCACTCTTCTTAAAGTTGCCTCTCTCATCCAGGAAGTGGCCGGGGTCAAACTTCTCTGGGTTGGGGAATTCTTTGTCATCATGAAGCACAGAAGTCAGAGATGTTACTATGCGTGTGCCCTGGAAAGAAGAGAAGATAAACTGAGTTATGAAATGTCGTGGAGCTGGAGGAAATGTGGCAAATAAGTTAGTCCAAAATTATGATCTATAGATGAGGATTCTTAGGTCCAAAAGAGGGCAGTGGCAGTTTGAGCCAGAGAGAACAAGTAATAAACACTGATTAGTTTAAGACCAGTGGCAGTGATAGTGCTAAAGTGAATACCAATATCATTTGAAGGACTGAATAAATGAGTCCTAGGGTGTCTGATGTTATGAATTCATTCTGCCTATCACAATGTTTGGACACTGGTGTACGACCCCACCACCTACTTTATTTTATACTTCAATCTTCACTCATCTCATATATGGGTTATGGAAGTCTCTGTTGGAGCCTAAAACATCTGTAGTTATCTGTTCATAGGACTTTTGTAAATAGACTTCTGAACGAATTTTAATAATCTGTGATAATAAGTACAGTAATAACTATTAGTGTTATCATTGCCATGTAAATTGTTTGTCTTAATTTAGAAACATAGAAACAAAGACACATTTATGGTTGCCAGAGGGGCGAATGGCAGAGGGATGGATGAAAAAGGTGAAGAGCAAGATAATCGATAATAGTGTAATTACTTTGCATGGTGACGGATGGTTCCTAAACTTAGCATGGCGAGCACGTCCTAAGATAAATAAATGTTCAATAGTCACAGGGATGTCAAAGTACAGCATAGGGATTATATCCAATGATATTGTAATAACTATATATGGTGCCAGGTGGGTATTGGAATTATCGGGGGGAACACTTTGTAAAGTATACGATTATCTTACCACTATGCTAATACAAACTAAGACTGAATGTAAATTGTAAACACACTAATGCGCAAAATAGAACCAGAGACATAGAAATAAAGAACAAACTAACAGTGATCAGAGGGGATGGGGGAGGGGCATAATGGGGACACAAAAGGAAGGGGCAAGTCAAGGAACATGAAGAGGACTCTTGGGCACAGACAATGGGATGGGGATTGACTGTGGGAGTGGGGCGGGTGGTGGAGGGGAGAGCAATGGGGGGGAAAGGTGGGATAACTGTAATGAAACAACAATAATAAAAAAATAAAACGATACAAGGACTAAAAAAAGAAAATTAAAAAAAATAAAAGTTGAGTTGCTGTTATATACCTGAAACTAATGTAACGTTGTATGCCTATTTTTAAGTATATTTTATTGATTATGCTATTAGAGTTGTCCCATTTTTTTCTCCCCTTTACCCTTATCCACCCTGGACCCCCTCCCTCCAGCATTCTCCTCACCTTCGTTCATGTCCGTGTGTGTACATGTAAGTCCTTGGGCTTCTCCATTTCCCACACTATTCTCAACCACACCCTGTCTATTTTGTGCCTACCAATTATGCTTCTTATTCCCTGTACCTTTTTCCCCCCTCCTCTGCCCACACCCTCCCCACTGGTAACCCTCCATGTGATCTCCATTTCTGCGATTCTGTTCCTGTCCTAGTTGTTTGACTAGTCTTTTTTTTTTCCTTAGGTTCAGCTGTAGATAGTTTTGAGTTTGTTGTCATTTTACTCTTCATAGTTTTGATCTTCTTCTTAAATAAGTCCAGTTAACATTTCATATATGAAGGGCTTAGTAATGATGAATTCCTTTAACTTTACCTTATCTGGGAATCCCTTTATCTACCCTTCCTTTCTAAACCATAGTTTTGCTGGATAGAGTAATCTAGGTTATAAGGTCTTGCTTTTCATGACTTTGAGTACTTCTTTGCAGCCCCCTCTTACAGGCAGTAAGCATTCTTTTGCGAAATCAGCTGAGAGTCTTATGGGGACTCCTTTGTAGGTAACTGTCTCCTTTTCTTTTGCTGCTTTTAAGATTCTCTCCTTATCTTTAATCTTGGGTAATGTAATTATGATGTGTCTTGGTGTGTGCTTCCTTGGGTCCAACTTCTTAAGGATTCCCTGAGCTTCCTGGACTTGCATGACCATTTCCTTCACCAGAACGGGGAAGTTTTCCTTCATTAGTTTTTCATATAAGTGTTCAATTTCTTGCTCTTCCTCTTCTCCTTCTGGCACCCCTATGATTCAGATGTTTGAATGTTCCAACTTGTCCCAGAGGTTCCTAAGCCTCTCCTCATTTTTTTGAATTCTTGTTTCTTCATTCTGTTATAGTTGAACATTTACTTCTTTCTTTGCTCTAAATCATTGATTTGAGTCCTAGTTTCCTTTCCTTCACTGTTGGTTTCCTGTATATTTTTCTTTATTTCACTTTGCATAGCTTTCCCTTTTTCCTCAGTTCTGTGGCCACCCTCAACCATTTCTGTGAGCATCCTGATTACCAGCGTTTTAACTGTGTATCTGATAAGTTGGCTATCTCTTTGTCGCTAAGTCCTTTTTTTGGAGCTTTGATCTGTTCTTTCATTTGGGCCATATTTCTTTGTCTCAGCACACCTGTTATGTTGTAAGGGGCGGAGCCTTAGGTATTCGCCAGGGTAGGGCAAGCCACTTCACTGCATTGTGGCGCTGTCTGTGGGGGAGGGGTCAGTGAGGCAACAATGCTGCTTGCTTGGCTCTTTTGCTGCTTTCAGTCATTTCCCTCGCTTTTCACAAGGGGACCGTGCCCTTTCGGATGCTGGTTCCTGAATGGGTGGGCTTGTGTATGTTCTAGGATCCTGTGGGCCCCTCCAGTAGACTCTCCTGTGAGGCTGGGAGTTCCTCCTACTGCCACAACCCCCATAGGGTGTTTTTAAATGTTTTTCTAAAATTTTATTTTAAAATCATGTTTATTCTATTACAGTTGTCTCAGTTTTACCCCCTTTGCCCTCCTCCAGCAATCCCATCCCCCCCCACAGTCAATTCCCACTCTGTTGTCCATGTCCATGGGTCATTCAGACATGTTCTTTGTTTAGTTCCTTCTCCTTTCCACCATTGTCCTCCTTCCCCATCCTCTATGGTCACCTGTCCGCTTCATGTTCCCTTGCCTGTGGTTTATTTTGTTCATTAGTTTATTTTGTTGAATAGATTCCAGTTATAGTTGAGATCATATGGGATTTGTCTTTCACTGACTGGCTGATTTCACTTAACATAATATTCTCCAGTTCCATCCATGATGTTGCAAAAGGTTGGAGTTCCTTCTTTCTTTCTCTCTTTTTTTTTTTTAATGTCATTTTATTTATTTATTTATTTTTTAAATGTCAAGACCCATTAGAAAATACTAAAAAATTTAAATCCAGTATAAAGTCTCAGCAATCATGACAGCTGCACAGAAATAATCAAGAAGATCAATGAAATAAAATGAGCATTCTAGAAACAAATGTCTAACAATGTAACATACGATCAAATTGATATTTCAAATCAATAGGGAAAATAAGGCTTTTTCAACAAATGAGGTGCACGGACCACTATTACTTGAAATAAAACAATATAGAGCCCTATTACACACATTATACAACAAATATTCAGGTGACTTAAAAACTTAATATGTAGAATCTGAGGAGTTTTAGGAGAAAATACAAAATGATATTTTTCTTACCTTAAACTAAAATATTCAAACCCAGAAGCTATAAAGTAAAATATTGACAATATGACTATATTAAACATTTAAGACTATACAGTAATATACATATAAAAAAGTTAAAGGACGAGTAATAGAATAGGAAAGTATTTGCAACACATCTAAAGAAGGGTTAATAGTTGCTTTCTGGGGGTTTTCTCCCTAGGGAAAAACTTCTACAAACATTTAATTCAAAATGGATAAAGAATACCAAAAATCCATTTAAAGCTTTTAAAAAAATCATGGAAATTGTCAAGAAATAAACAAAAACAGATTCAGTTTCAACAAAGAATAAAGTAACAATTAAGAAACCCATCATTATCACAATCAGATTAATACATATTTAAAATATTGGTAATATCAACTATTGGCAACTGTGAAAGGAATTGGGTATTTATAGACTCTTTTTCTTCATCTTCTTAAAGCAGTCCCTTTAGCATATTTTGAAATGCTGGTTTGGTGGAGATGTATTCTTTTAGCCTTCTTTTGTCTGGGAAGCTCCTTATTTCACCTTCCATTTTAACTGAGAGCCTTGCAGGGTAGAGCAGTCTTGATTGCAGGCTTTTGCTCTCCATTACTTGGAATATATCTTGCCATTCCCTTCTGGCTTGTAATGTGTCTGTTGAGAAGTCAGCTGCTAGCCACACCGGGGCTCCCTGATATGTTACTGCCTCTGTCTCTCTTGCTTGCTTTAGGATTCTCTGTTTGTCTTAGATATTTGCCATTTTAATGATGATGTGTCTTGGAGTGGGCCTCATTGGGTTCCTCTTGAATGGGACCCTCAGTGCTTCCTGGACTTGGGGGACTTTTTCTCTCTTCAAATTGGGGAAGTTTTCCATCAAGACTTTTTCAAACAGGTTCTCTATCTCTTCCTCACCCTCTTCTCCTTCTGGTATCCCTATTATATGGGTATTATTACATTTCAGGTTGTCCTCCATTTCCCTCAATGCCTCTTCATTCTTTTGAGACTTTTTTCATTTTCTTGCTCTTTCTGGGAGCTTTTTTCTAACTTATCCTCCAGCTCGCTAATTCATTTCTCTGCTTCATCGAGCCTGCTTTTGATTCCTTCTACTGTGTTCTTCAATTCAGAAATGGTATTCTTCATTTCCTCTTGACTCTTGTTGATAGTTTCTATGTCCTTTTTCATGCTGATCTAGTTTGCAGTAAGTTCCTCATAGTTTCCCTGTAACTTTTTGTAATTCTCCCTGAGCTCACTGAGCTCATTGAGCTTCCTTACAACTGTTGTTTGGAACTGAGTATCTGATAGTTTACTTGGCTCTATTTCATTGGGTTCTTTTTGTGGGGATTCCTCCTTTCCCTTCGACTGGGGGGTGTTTCTTTGTCTTCCCATTATGTGTGAGACTCTTCTTTTGTGCTTCTTCTTCTTAAATTGATCTGTCTTGATTGGCTGACATTGTGGTGTGAACTTCTATGGTAGGAGATAGCTGTTGGTTTGTTTCTTTCTTTCTGGGTCTGCCTCTGGTGATGTCAGATGTGGACCCTGTCTCACCGTAGGGAGTCTGTTCAAGACTTCCAGGAATCTACTGTCTGTTGCTATCACATTTAGCTGTTAATCTAGTCACTCTGCACTCAGCAGGTCAGCTTAAGACACCACCGGGCAGGGCAGAGTCCCTCCTGGGGACGGGGTTATTGGGTCCTCTCCTGCTGCTGCCACTCAGGGCAGTGTCTGCCCGAGCCAAATGGCAGCTGCAGTATGGGGAAGGAGTCAGCACCAAGATCCCGCCAGCTACTTTCTCATTTCTCTCCCCAAAGCCTCTGTCTCCAGTCTCTCCTCCAGAGTCTCTAGACTACTCTGCACACCCTTCAGCCAGGGATATACTCTCTGTGGCTGCTACTCTGTGCTCAGCCCTCGGGTTTAAGCACTACCGGGCCTAGGCAGAGCCTCCTGGGGACGGGGCTATCGTGTCCTCTTCACGCTTGTGCCACTCAGGGGAGTAGTCTGCCTGAACAATATGGCTGCTGCTGTTTCGGGGATGAGTCCTGCACCAGGATCCCACAGGCTACTCTCTCAGTTTTCTCCCCACAGCCTCCTTCCCCCATCTCTCCTCAGGTGTCTGCAGCCCACGCGGCTGCCGCCTTCGCCAGAGCCCAATGTAAGTGGCTAGAAACAAAAATGTATGCATTGGCCCTTTAAACAGCTCCCTGCATCTCCAGCTGCCCATCTCTGTCTGAGAGCAACCCTGCCACTTTTTGCAGCTGATTGTTATCTGTGTACTTTTTGGACTCTGGTGCTGTAAGTTGGAGATCATCACTTATTGTTTAGACTCCACTCTTCTCAGGGGAAGCCAACTGTCCCTTTCAATATCCTTCTGGTACTGACGCCAGTGGGTGCCCTGTCCGCTTCCTCCATTCCCTATCATACGCCTTACCAGTTAGGTCGTGCTAAAGCTGATTCTTCTGTCTGTCCAAGGTTATACGTCTCCTCTCTTGCAATTGTTCACTTGTTTGTTCCAGGAGATTTCTCCACAATTTCGTTATAATGCCTTGTTGGTCCTGGGAGGAGGTCAGTGTGGCTTCCACTAACTCCTCCGCCATGTTGATTCTGAGGTTTTTACAGCCAGAGGTTTTGAGGCTTTAGTTTCCTGCGCTGGGTTCATTGGTTGCGTGGTGTGTCTTGCTCCCCGGTTGTTCCGGCTTATCCACCAGTGAATGTGTGATATCCCGTTCTGCTGCACTGCCCTGGCTTCCCACTCCACCCCTCCTGCCAGTCTGGATGAATGTTTCTTCTTTAACTCCTTGGTTGTTGGACTTTCATACAGTTCAATTTTCTGGCAATCCTGGCTGTTTTTAGTTTGTAAATGGGTTGTTTTCTTTCCTGTGGTTCTCTGAGGAAGTGAAGCATAACTATCTATGCCTCCATCTTGGCTGGAGAAACCCTCCTTATATGCTTACTATTAATATAATAAAAAATTAAATATATCAATAAAAATAAATAAAAATAAAATAAAATAAAATAAAAATAAAGAGTAGATTTGTTCATAGAGCAATGTCAGCTTACAAACACAAAAAGAATGTTAGAACTAGGGGGAAATCATTGGTTTGCAACAACTCAGTTTAGGATTATTAATTCAGCCAAGTTTTACCAATTAGTGCTAAAACTGTTGGGTGAATAATTGAAAGGCATGATATTTGCAAAGCACTATAGATTTTTATTAATTAAGTGTAAAAAACAGAACCTATGCCACGGAGAGATGTGATAGATACCACTTTATTAGGTGAGGAACATAGCATAGCCAGTGACATTATGTGCCCCAACCCCGCCCCCCATGAATTCCAGTGGGACACATAGAGCACCTATGTAGGTCTCTTGCCAACACTGTAACTGGAATCTAATCTTTAGAAAGCAATCACACAAAAGCAGCCTGAGGAATATTGTACATGACTACTGGCCTAGATCCTTCACAAAGTCACATGTACGGAAAGAAAAGAAACAGAGCAAAGGGAACAAATAACAGGAGAGTAAAGGGAAAAGATGACCAAATTGCATGCTTCTTCCTTGCCTGGATACTGAATTGCCAAGAATGAAAAAGTATAAAAGATATTACAGGAAAATCTGGGAAATTTAAATATAGGTTGTACATTAGATAATATTGTTTTATCAATGATAAACCTTGAATGTGAATGCTACTACTTTTCTGTATACAAAAGTCATTGCTCCTGGGGTGAGTATGCTAATATATTGAGGTATCCATTGATAAATAGATAAATATGGAAGGAAATCTATACACAAATTTATATATTATATGTATGCATATGTTTTGAGATTAAAAATTTTTTGTCATACAGAGTTGGGGGAAAATTCCCTCAAGTTTATCATATAAAAGGTCTGTAACTCTAGTTGTGAAGTTATTCCCTTGTATGTATATATCATTATTAAACAAATAATATATGAAATTTTTGAAGATACAAAAAAATACAAAAGCCAATATGTTTTCATCTAATGTTGTTCAACTAATCGAATGCTCAGAAAGAGAAGAAGAAAAAATGACCAATACTTCACACCGTAAGTAAAAATTTACCTGAATGGATCGATAATCTAAATGTAAGTGCTAAAAATAAAGTTTTAGAAATAGATAAGAGTAAATCTTTGAGACCCTGTTCTGAAAAATATTCTTTAGATAGGACCATAAAAGGATAAGCACAAATCAACCTTGCATCATTTCAAAGAGTTCTGTTGATAGTCTTAGACACGGTGAATAATAAGCCATGCATTTCAAAGACATGACTAAGTGGCCACAAGAATAAGAGAAGAAGACAATCAAAATAAGTCCACATTACGGCATATTTCTCGTCTACTTTTCTGAGGCCAACATTACCTTCATATCAGAAATATGACAAGAAAATTGTGAAGAGGAAAAATTGTAGTCCAAAAATTTCTTATCAATAGAAATACAGAAGTCCTGAACAATGTGTACCAAATCAAATCCTGCTGAGTATGTATACTTAGAATAGGTACATTTAGTTGGAAAAGTGAAGCCAATATACAACTATTCCAATGGATACAGAAAATTGATATGAAAGCATTGCATACACATTCATGACAAAAAATGGTGAGAATGAGAGCAGAAGGCAAACTTCCCAATCTAATCAATAATATCTACCACCCTGGTTGGTGTGGCTCAGTGGATTGAGTGCTGGCCTACAAACTAAAGGGCTGCTGATTCGATTCCCAGTCAGGGCACACGCCTGGGTTGTGGGCTAGGTCCCCAGTTAGGGGTGCGCGAGAGGCCACCACACATCGCTGTTTCTCCCTCCCTTTCTCCCTCCCTTCCCCTCTCTCTAAAAAGAAATAAAATCTAAAAAAACCCCAACATCTACCAAAATACACATAAAACATCACTCTCAATAGTGAGGTGTTACACCTCCTCACTGTCCTGAAATCAGAAATAAAATAAGACTGAAAGAAGGATATTAGCCCAGATAGCACAATAATATGTGTAGAATTTGCAGATTAATCTAGAGATAAAATATCAGCAATGATTTTAAATTCAGCAAGGCTGCTGCATGTAAGGTCATAAAATGATACAATCAATTATATTTCCAAGTACCAGATTTTTAATATGGAAAATGAAGGTAAAAATTTACAATAACAGTGGTAATATTAGGCAGCTATGAAAAAGCAAACAAAAGATTGCAAGCCAATGCCCATTCAACAAGAAAAATTATTGAAAAAAATTTGAAAAGCTCCCAACCCTCAATTAAGAGCATATACCATATCTATTCATTGAAAGATTCGATGTGTCATGATGTTAAGGCTCTCCAAATGATCTAACGTAACCCTCATAAAAATCCCAGAAGATCGTTTTGGTAAACTGACAAACTGACACTAACATTGGTTTAGAAGTGTAAGCAGCTAAAATTAGCCAAACAATATTAAAGATGCAGAGCAGCCCTGATTACTATGGCTTAGGTGGTTGGACATTGTCCCGCAAAGTGAAATTTCTCTGATTCGATTTCTGGTCAGGGCACAGCCTGGGTTGAGGGTTTGGTCTGTGGTCCAAGAGTGTAGGCAACCAACTGAAGTTTCTCTCCCACATCAGTGTTCCTCTCCCTTTCTTTCTCCCTCCCTTCCCCTCTCTCTAAAGGTAAATACATAAAAAAGAAGCAGAACAAATTCGGAAGACCTGCAGTGCCAGATGTCCAAGCCTATTATAAAGGTTTATGGCCTAAACTGGAAACCACACAGTCCATCAAGCGGCCACAGGTCTGATTTTTGCACTTCTCTCAGCTTGTGTTGGTGGAGGATGAAACCCATACTGTGAAAATGGGAACTTCAAGACCACTGACGTCAGTATAAAAGAAACAAACCTTACCTTGGGGATGAGGTAGTTTCTGAATATAATGTCACGGGTCACTGCATGGGGCAGGCTGTTGGGGATGAGGTCAATGTATCTCTGGATCTCGTGCACCACAGCGTCCGTGTAGGGCATGCGGCTCTTGTCCTGCATGCAGGGGCTCCGGTCTCTGCCGATCACACGGTCAATCTCTTCCTTGACCTTAGCTGTAAGACAGAAGCAAGACTGATGGAAAAAGAGGAAAACGCATTCTGCGCATAAAAGAGATGTACATGCTGATTCAGGGATCATGAAACACTGTGAAGATGTCTCAACACCATTATAAACATCAGTTATATGCCCAGAAATACACCTAGACAAAGAGAAATAATTGCCAGAGTAGATACCTGTAACTCTCCTACAAGCTAGCCTTAAGATACATCACCCGTACTTATATATCAGCATATATGATAATAGAAACAAGAATGATGAAACGTTTCAAAATATAAACTGAATGTAAGTCAAGAAATTACGGTCCTTGCAGAAAGAAAAACAGGAAATCAAATACTAATTTTCTATCGAAATAATATGTAGGTTGAAAAATTAAAGTATAATGAATGTTTTGTGTATGTGTGTTGTTTGTGCATGTGTACGATCTGTAATTGTACCCTCTTCATCCTCCAACTTGACAGTGTTACCTCTTTGAACATTCCAGCAGTTTCTCCTGAAAGATATGTTTAATTTCTAAACAAAGGTTCATTCTTTCTGTTTCTCACTTACCTATTTTTAGACAATATCTGATTTCCTGGTAGGGAAGTTGAGAATTTACTTCTCCAACCCCACCTCATGCAAGATACACACAGACACGCACACAGTTCTACTTGACTCCATTTCCCCCAATCGGTTACATTTTAACACCGTTCTGAGTACATAAACCATCTATAATTTAGTTCTACTTTTGGTACTTTCTTGGACTTCACCATGATTCTTTCATTCAATTCATAATATTCTATATTTTAATTTTAATTATTTCTAAATACGGAGGACAATGTTTCTAACTCCTAATAATAACTTCCTTATCACTAGGAAATCTCGAGTAATCCATCACCTTTCCTGTTCTTGGTGTCTCCTCTCACACCTGTGTTATTCCCCTAATCATTTTGGAGTGGATAGTTTCCAGGCCTGGTGTGGGCAGCCTGCCTGCCATTTCCTTCTCCTTTGAGCTCTCCTGATTCCTTGAGCCCATGGCTTCCCCTGACATGACATCATGCATTTGGATGAAAAGGGAAAAGAGGAGGTAAAGTTTCTGTCACATAACCAGGTCTGAGAATATACCCTTTTGAATCATACACAATTTGACAGTTGCTCTTGACAATTCTGGTGCTCCTCTGAATCCTAATCCTTATGTATGGCATGATGTAGCTCTCTGGAAGTTTTTGTCATTTTCTTTTTAATCCTGGCATTCTGCAATTCTGTGATCCTGTGTCTTGGGTTGGATGTTCTTATTTCATTCACACTGATACATGTGTCAGGAGAATTTTCTACCCACATGGCAAGCTACTGAGGTCTTTCCTGTAGAGCTGTTCACTCTCTGGAGTTTATCTTCTTTGTATCTGGTTGTTGAATTTTGGGAAGCGGGATGGAGAAAGAAGCTATGAGTCTCTGTATTCAAGAAATTCTTGCCTAACCTTTCTGTTCAGCCCTACACCTCACTCTTTCCTTGGCCTTGTCCAGTGTTCCTCAGTGTAGTGCCTCTTAGGTTTCATTTCTCAAGAGAGTAAAGCTCCCTCATTTAGACAAAACACTTACTTGATAAAAGGTGTTGTCAAAGGGGCCTGGGCAGGGAGAGCTACCGTTTAGAGCCTGTTTCTACCTCCACCTTCGTTGACACCTGGCACTTCTAAATACCAGAACGTGCAGGCATGTAGGGACACAGAAATCACCTTTCCTCATCATATAACTTCCTCTTCCGACACTGAGGTTACAATTTCATTCTCCCTATCGAGTTCATTATCTCCCCTTAGTATGCTCTCTGTGTTTCAGAAATTTGTTGGAGATTTGTTGGCTTTTTCCTGACCTCCTCTAATCCAGCTTTAAAAGACTAATTCGCATTTGTAATATGTTATATCATTTTAGTGGGATTTTGACACTGGACAAAATAATGTATATTTCTAATCTGCTATGCATTTCTGTAATGCTTTAGAAGTAAATTCTGACATAAAGTACTTTGTAAAAGATCAAATGATTAACTCCCTCTCCCCAAATTCTTAGATTGACAACCACCACTTTCTGGAAATAGACTTCTGAAATAACAAAAATTCCTTTATGCAACATTATTATTTTTTAATTTTTATTTTTTGTTCAAATACATTTGTCTCCACTTTCCCACTGCCACTCTCCCCTGCCCCACTCCCCTCACCCCCTCCCTCAACCCACCTCCACTTTGGCTTTGTCCATGGGTCCTTTATACATGTTCCTTGATTTGATCCTTCCCTTCCCTTCCCTTTCCCTGCCCACCCCTCCCTCCTTCCCTCTTGACTCTGTTGGTTTCTTTTTTCTTTCAATGTGCAACATTATTTTTAATCATCACCCAAGGACTTTTTTTAAAATTACTTTCTGAGAGAAAGGAAGGGAAAGAGAGAGAGAGAGCAACATTGATTAGTTGCCATCTCAAACAACCTGACTGGGGATCAAACCCGCAACCTGGGTATGAGCCCTGATTGGGAATTGAACCTGCAATCTTTCTGCCTATGTAACGATGCTCCAACCAACAGAGCCACACCAGGTAGGGCTACGCAACATCTTAAGCCTGAAGAATAACACTATTCTTCAGAATCTAATTTTTTAGAATGTTTTCTAGGCTGTGGAAGTGATCTCAGACAGCCTCACTAAATCTCTTGGATTTTAACTTATGCTTCAGTAAGGAGAGTTCCCGTTAGAACCCTGAAGATTCAGAATGAGGAGATATCTCTGCAAGAATATACCTACTGTTCAAAGTGAATAGCCTCTTCATTAGAAAACAACAACAACAACTAATATACAGTCCCAGCCCTGGCTGGATGGATTAGTCCTGTACACCAAAAAGTTTCAGGTTTGATCCCTGGTCAGGGCATATACCCAGGTTGTGGGTTCCCTCCTCAGTTGGGCTGCATAAGGGAGACAACCGATCGATGTTTCTCTCACATTGAGGTTTCTCTCCCTCTCCTTTTCTCTCTCTTCTAATCGATTAAAAAGCATATCCTCAGGGGATGATTTTTAAAAAAGCACAGTCCCAGGCAAATCCATCCTTGCTCTCCCTGTCACAAATAACTTCCTCTGAAATCCAGGCACTGCTTTATTGCTTCTGCCACTGCCACTGAGTGTCTTCACTCCTCTCAGTCATCTGCCTGTGTTATAGAAAGATGTCCTATGGCTATCCCTTCTTTAAACCTGGAAAATTAAGCAGGTCAAACAGAAATTTTAATAAAGACACTTCTTAAGAGAAGCAAGACAGAATGCACTTGCCCACACCTTTTCTGAAATTCACCTCTCCCACCAGTTCGGCCATACCTGAGACTTCTGGGTGCTTCAGCAAGAGCAGGAGAGCATATCTCAGGGTGATACTTGTTGTCTCTGTCCCAGCTCCAAAGATATCAAATACAGTGATTGTCAAATTTTCCAAAGTAAACACCGACTGTGGGTTGTGCTTTTCCTAGGAATAGTTTGATGAAATATCTAACACGTTAATTTGTCAGAATTAGAGTTAATCCAAAATCAGTCATATTGTTATAAAGTTAAGCCAACATATTGCACTGCAAGGTGCAATTTTAGAAAGACATAGCTATATGGTATGGCGAGAGACCGTAAATTAGTTGACATAAGCATCATCTTCTACTGCTTTATCCCTTACTTGCCTGAATGTCTCTTCATCGTCTCTCTTGCAGGTAGGTGAGCCATGCAGCCTAGTTATTACACTGAGATATAAGCAGAAGCCTATTAATGTCACTTATACTCCTACTTCTTGTGCAAGACAAAGGTGATAAGGAGGAGGTAGAGTAGACATCATCTTGGGGCAAGAGGTTTAATCATAAAATGTGGCCTATTGATGAAGTGTGGGTGATGAGAGATGGAAAGTATTTGACTCTGATGGTTTGGACCTTCTGAACAATCCCTCCACTGACACATCACAAGACTCCTCTTCTGTGAGGTAAATAAACCTCCTATTTGATAAAGCCATTCTTCTTAGGTTTTATTTTATTTGTAGACAAACACAATCTTATATGGTAAAAGAAAGCAGAGACGTGAAATGCTTGTACATTGAAAACTAATACCATTGTTAAACAAATGAGTAAATAGATGAAAAACCATCCCACATACAAGTGTTGAAAGATTTAACATTGATAACATGGGAATACTCCCTGCAACCATATGACGCTTCAAAGCAACCCCATTAAAATTCCAAAGGTCTTTTTCCAGCAAGGGAAAAACCCATCCTCCAAATTTGCAAGGAACTGCAAAGGACACAACTTCCCATTTTGAAAACTTTCTACAAAGCTACCCTAATCCAAACAACAAACTTCTGGCAAGAAGATAGAAAACAAGACCAATAAAGAAATAGAATTGAAATCTAGATATAAGCCAACACACCTATGGTCTATTTATTAACAACAGGGTGCCAAGACTATTTAACTCATGAGAAGAGTCTCTTCAACAAATAGTGCTGGAACAACCGCATAACCATAGAGAAATGGAGGGAGTCGGACCCCTTCTTCACTCCATTAGCGAAACATAACTCAAAAGAGATGAAAAACTTTAAATATGACAGCTAAACCTATAAAACTCTTAGAAGAAAACATGGGGTAAATCTTCACAAATTCAGGCTTGGCAACAGATTCTTAGATTTGACACCAAAGAAACAAAAGAAAAAATATATAAATCAGACTTCACTAAAGTAAAAAAAGTTGTTCATCAAAGGATATAATCAAGAATGTCGAGAAAAGGGAACCCTAGTACACTGTTGGTGGGAATGCACACTGGTGCAGCCACTATGGAAAGCAGTGTGGAATTTCCTCAGAAAGCTGAAAATGGAACTGCCTTTTGATCCAGGGATTCCCCTGCTGGGACTATACCCTAAGAACACCAAAACACCAATACAAAAGAACCTATGCACCCCAATGTTCATAGCAGCACAATTTATAATAGCCAAGTGTTGGAAGCAACCTAAATGCCCATCACTAGATGATTGGATCAAAAAGTAATGGTACATATACACAATGGAATACTACACAGCAGAAAGAAAAAAAGAACTACTAAACTTCGCGACAGCATGGATGGAACTGGAGAGCATCATGCTAAGCGAAATAAGCCAAGGGGCGAAAGACAAATACCATATGATCTCACCTGTAAGCGGAACCTAACCAACAATGCAAAGATGCAAGGAAAATATGACCAGCAACACTGAGAGGAAAAGAAATCAACAGAGACAAGAGGGAAGGGGGGGCAGGGAAAGGGAAGGGAAGGGAAGGGGAAAGTCAAGGAACATATAGCAAGGACTCATGGACAAAACCAAAGGGGAAGAGCTGAGGGAGGGAAGGAGGGAGGGGGCAAGGGAAAGTGGTGGGGGGGAGGCAGAGACAAATGTATTTAAAAAGTAAATAAATTAAAAAAAAGAAATTCTAATAAGATCTGCGTTTAGTCAATAATATGCCAATGTTAACTTCTTGGTTTTGAAAATTGTACTATGATTATATAAGCTGTTAATATTAAGTTAACGTTAAAATGAGTGATATAAGAAAAAAAAAGAAGAATGTCAAGTGACAAGCTACAGAATGGGAGAAAATATTTGCCTTTCACCTACGTATAAACGTTTCATTCTCAAGATATATAAACAACTCTTACGGCTCCACAACAAACACGAGCAACCCAATATTTAAGAGGCAACGGACTGGAATGGTATATCTCCAAAGAAGATATACAAATGGGCAACAGCACATGAAAATATGTTCAGCATCATTGGTCATCAAGGAAATGCAAATCAAAACCATGAGTTACAACTTTGTATTAACTAGAATAGCCTTAATAATTACCAAAAAATTAGAAAATAGATACTGGCGACTTCATGGGAAAAGAGGAACCCTGTTCATACACTGCGGGTGGGAATGTAAATGCTGCAGTCACTGCGGAAAAGTTTGGCTGTTCCCCAAATGTCAGACACAAAATAGCCATATGTCTCATCAGCTCCTCTCCTAGAAATGTCCTCAACAAAAATGAAAACATGTCCATGAAGACACGTGTGCACCACACAAATGTCCATCAGTAGATGATGGATGAAGAAATTATGGTATGTACACAAAACGGAATATCATTCAGCCATAAAAATAACAAAGTTCTGATACACACCATAACTTGATGAACTTCCAAAACATTATTCTAGGTGAAAAGTTCCAGAAACAAAAGGTCCAATGCTATGTGTCTTTTTAATATGGTATTTTCATAGCAGGCAGATCCACAGACTCATAAAGCATATTACAGGTTAACACATGATGGGGTGGGAGAAATGAAGAGAGATCACTTAATGGATTGGCATGTTTTTGCAGAGTGATGGAAAAGTTTTGAAATTAGAGAAAGCTAGTGGTCACACAATATTTGGAATGTACTAAATAACACTAAATTGTACACTTTAAAACGGTTAATTGTGTGGTATATAAATTTCACATCAATTCTTAAAATGGGAGGTAATTTCATCAACTGACCTACAAATTTAATGCAATCCCCAACAAAACACCACTGGCTTCTTTGCAAAACCTGATGAATTTATCCTAAAATTCATATGGAAATTCAAGGGACCTAGAATAGCCAAAACAAAACGAAACAAAACAACAACAAAAAAAACCCTTGAGAAACAACAGTTTTGGAGGGCTCACACTTTGCTGCTTCAAAACTTATTTAAAAACCTAGCAATTAAGACTACCAGACAGTGTGCTACTGGAATAAAGACCAGCACATAGATTATTGGAATAGAATTGCAATCAAACGGATAGACCCTCACATTTTCAGTCAATTGATTTTTGATGAGGGTGCCAAGGCAATTCATGTGGGTAAAGGTCTTTTCAATAAATAGTGCAGGATTCATGCTTACCAATACCAACCTCCAACTCCATTCCTATGCCATTTCATTTAACTTTACACTCAACTGAGGCTTCTTTCTTCCATACATCTATTTCTCACCACATCCTCTGCACCTGTATATCTACCATTCACCCATCTGAAAGTCCCTCATCAGTTCTTCACTGTAAATATGGGAAGATTTCTTTCCAACCACTGGACATGCACGAAGCCCAGCTGGTTAAGCCAGTCCTTGCCATTCTCTTATGCTTATGTGCAATGATCATGTCCATCCTCACATTATGCTATTTTGTATTTTCTAATATGTTTGTAATTGTTTCCATGTCACCTGAGGAGCCATTCTGTCTCTCCTCAGGTAGATTATTAGTACCTAAAAAACAGGATTAATACAGTGCACTTACATAACAATTTGCTTTTTATTTAACGATTTAATATTGTACCTTCCATAATGCTTAGTGTAGATTCATGCACACTACATGTTCTTAAAATGCTGGTCAGAATTACTTGTCTAACCATTGAAATATCACCGGTAAATACAAAAAGTAGTCAATGAACCACAAGGTGCACAAGCAATCAAATCACCGACCTCTTGTTAGTTTACCTGCTCCATTTTGTTCAGGAAGTAATCAATAAAGTCCCGAAGATTGTTAATGTCAAAGGATGCTTGATGTTCCCTGGCTTTCTTCATAACATAGCTTTTAATATTATCAAAATTTTTTAATACTATGTTATGACTCCCTGGAAAATAGTCAAGGAGAACCGGGAAATTATTGCAGATCTAGAAGAGAAAAATGGTAGTGTATGACGTTAAAAAAAACCCTTAATGAAGACATATAACATATGCTAAGACCCAGCCAGTCACTGTACTGTAAATATCAGTGAAAATTAATTTTTAATAAGTAATATGCTATACTGATATGTGCATATGAAGGTGAAAATTATGACCAGGAGATCAGACATGATAATCATTACCTATACTCATAAGTTATGTTTGTTGCATAAAAACATCTGTATGTCAATTCTCTCATTTTTTACATCAGTTCTTCCCTACAATCTTGAAATATAGGGTGGCATAAAATACTATGAGTCACATTTTGTAGATGACAACAAAGGTGTCAGGAGTTTGGGAAACCTGATAGAGCACACAAAACTAATCCCTGCTGTTTCTCTTTCTGTCTAGTAGCCTCAGACATCAAATCAGTAGTTAGAACTCAGAGGGTCCTGACAAGGCCATAAAACACAATTCAACATTTGATATATGAAGTAACTGTGCACCAGAGCCGCTAAATGACGCCTCTAAGATGACATCATTATCTTTTAGGCACACTATCATCTCAGCACAGGGAAAAATTGGGGTGTTTGATGATGCTTCATACACTATATAACGAATCAATCTGTCTTCCCCCAAACAATTACTTTGTCAGGATCCCAAATGAAGCATCAAGTACTCCTCCTGAAGTCAGTGTTCCCTAGCATCATATGTGGTCCCAAAAATTCTCCCTTCTTGAAGGAGATATTTTCTTCCTTCCTAAATGCCAGCTAATGTACTGAAGAAGTCATTAAGTGTTGAGTAGTTAAGTGACAAGACTTGTGGGTAATGGACTGAGAAGTCCATTTAGTGCTATAAGCATGTTCTGGGGGAGTTAACAAAGTACTTTATGGGAAACTGGGCTTTGGAATTTAGTAGAAAATCCACTAGACAGGGTCAATGGGATTGAATGCCAGTTCTGTATTCTGCACATGCCTTTCCCGGTCCATCATTAAAGGGCTTGGCCAAATTTCCCAGATGAGCACTTCATGATGCTGAGCTCTGGGAAGAACTGTGGTGTCCAGCATTTACTTCACAGCTTGGCAAATACAGAGATTTGGGCTTTTTTTTTTTTATTTTTTAACAAAAGAGCATAAAGGATTCCTTGAAAAGAAACAGTCTTGGACTCACCTGTATCCATGGAGAGCTCATAATGCTCGCACTCTCATTTAACATTTGCAAAAGGTTTAGAAAATCATGATCTTTATAATCAAAACGATTGTTGAAAATAATGGAGCAGATCACATTGCAGGGAGCACAGCCCAGGATAAAAGTGGGATCACAGGGTGATGCTAAAGAATCACAAACAATTTTAAAACAATTAAAACACACATATGAAGCACTTTATTTATGAAATAACAGGTAAAGTTAATATTAGAAACATTAAAGCAATTTTTCCCTACAAAGTCCATGAAGGCAAAATATTCAACATGCATAAAAGCAATACATCACTTTTACTTGAACCTGAGTATTCTATTTTGACCTAGCTAGTTAAATAGTGGTTTTCTGAAAAATACTCCATTGACATCCACTGCCTTTAGTTGTACCCATTTTGCCCAAGGCGCCTGTTAATTTGGAGGAAAAGAGAAAGAAAAAACATTTAAAGAGGCTATTCTTATATCATTTCATAATTAAAGTTGACAGTGCTGAAAATCATTTGTCTGCAAAATCTGTAGAAATTTAAGTGTTGATATAGAGAAACAATAGGGACCTCAAAACGTGTTTTATGTAATGAGTAGTTGAAAGAATCATGTCGTAGAAGCAACAGAGGGAAGCTAAAGAGGGAGATTGCAGGTGAATTCATGTATTTGAAGAAATAAGTGTAAAAAAGCAAGAAGCATTTATGTTGTATGATAATAAAAACTAACATGAGTGAGTAATTTCTATAAAATGGATTGTTTTTTGTCTAAAATAAAAATACCATATGATCTCACCTATAAGTGCAACCTAATGAACAAAACAAACAATCGCGCAAAATAGAACCAGAGATGTGAAAAGAAGGAACAAACTGACAGTGACCAGAGTGGAAATGAGAGAGAAAAATGGGGGAAAGAAAGGGAAGTGTCTAGTCAGGGAACATGTATAAAGGACCCATGGCAATGGACAATGGGGTGGGGGCTGACTGAGGGTGCAGGGGGTTGGACGGGGCACGGGAGAGCAACAGGGGGAAAACCTGGGACAACTGTAATTGATCAACAGTTTTTAAAAAACAGTAAAAAAATAAAGTGAAAAATTTTTACTTCAAACCCAAACTCCAGGTAAGTGAATCAAGCACACAAAAAAGGTAAAATGATCAGTGGAGTTCTTTAATCTTTTATTTCAATGTTTAAAAATATTTCCCTCCTGGAGGATCTAAGATGCAGTGGAGTAGGTGGATCTTATACTCACTTCCTATCAGGACCAAACAGGAATTACAACTAAATTTAAAGCAATCTACCTGACTAACCAAATGAAGATTAGCTGAAGACACGCCTTACCACTAAGGATTTACAGAAGAAGCCACATCAAGACTGGTAGGAAGGGCAGAGATGTGAAAAGTACTGACTCTCTTCCACAAGCAGCAGCTGACTTTCTAGAGGGATATCTCAGCTCAGATATCCCTGGAGAAGCATGGCTTCTCAACCCTAAACTGAGCTCCCCATCCCAGATGACCAAGCCAAGTAGAGGCACCCACATAACACCTGGCTGTGAAAACCATCAGGCAATCTGTTCGCCAGAGAGAGTCAGGAGTCTGCTAGAGACACAGGCACCCTGTTAAATGGCCAATGCACTAAATCTTATTTGCAACCACTCATACTGGGCTCCAGAGGAGGGAGCGTGGAGTGGACCAGAGTCGTGTGAGGAGAGATTGGAGTTCGCAGCTCTGGGGAGAGAGCTGAATGAACAGCCTCCAGGTCCTTGTGCTGAGTCCCCCTCCCACTCATCAGACACCATCTTTCTGGGTTGGAGCAATACCCCCACATTCTGGACTCCCGGTTGGCCCACCTTGAGGAGCTTTCGCCCAGGTGAGAAGTCAGCTGCCTGCGCCAGGATGTAGAGGTGTGGGCAGACACAGGAGGTGTTAATGACGGAGTTGTATGGCTTTGGAGTAGGGGCCATCCCCCCGTGCCACTTTCCCATGAACCTGACCAGCACCACCCCCTCACAAGAGATCCACTAGATCCATTTTCCTGGCTCCCAGCAGCCCCACCCTGCCAACACCTGGTGACTCTGCCCTGCGGAGGTCTGGGCAGAACTGGGCAGACTGTGTTGTGTGGCTGTGGCCAGGGGCCACTCCCTCCACCTTCCCCAAAGTCTGACCGGCACCTCCCCCTCACAGAAAACTACCTCCGAACTCCTGGAGGCCCCGCTGTGCTGAGATTGGGCTCCTGGCAGAATATGGGACAGACTGTGTTGTATGGCTCCAGGATGGGGCCCATTTTTCCCTTGCATGCCAAACCAGTGCCAAGCCCTCCCGTCACATGCCAAAATCTTAGTCGATTTGGGATCGCTCTGACAACTTCTTGACACTCTGAGCCAACACAAAGGTGTGAAAGCTCCCAGTGGGTAGCAGCTAGACTTGGTATACCCTGGGACATTTGCTGAGTGGTCTCAGACCCAGCACTGGCACTGTTTCAACTTGTATCTATCTAGCGAAAACCACTCACTCCTTCCTAGTGACTCAGAGAAACTACTTCATGTACTGCTGAAGGCTCTTTCAATGACTGAGCCTAACAGGCAGTTGGCAGGAAGAGGGAGATCTTGGGATACTTTGGGGTTTGTGCTGACCTACGGTCGAGCCCAGGGCTGGTAAGAGGCAGCCTTGGTGCACCGTTGGTCCTTCCCACACACACCTGCGCCCAGCAGAGGAAGCCCCAAACCGTGGATCACTTTATACTTCCAAACAGGCTGCCTAGGGCCAGTGACAGGCAGCATGTGTAATTGGCCTACACCAGAGTTTTTCCCAAGAGGCTGCAGAGACAACACACCCAGTGGTAGCTTCAGACATCCAAACAGGATCCAATTAGCTTCACAAGTGGCATATCAAAAGGGAGATCTCAACAGGCACCAGACCCTGCTGAAGTGAATTCCACTTTGTATGGTCGTCACCTGCACAGCAGCTCGTACACTCTGGTTGGGATTGATGCTCCCAGTCAGCCACCTTGAGGTTTGACCCCATGCACAAATGGTCCAATAGCGATCAAAACTCAATTATAACACAAGGACTCATGCAACTCAGAGAAAGTCCACCCAGCTCAGGCAATCAAAGAGATGGTGCCACTGCTGGTCATAGAAGATGTACCTCATACGTAGAAACAAACACAAAGTGGAAGCCAAAGGGGAAGCGAAGAAACATGACCTAAATAAAAAAACAAGAATAATCTCCAGAAAAAGCATTAAGTGAAATGAGGTAAGCAATTACTTAGATACACAGTTCAAAAAATGGTTATAAGGATGCTTAAGGAACTTAGGGAGAACTACAACAGTGTGACCAAGGGCATGGGAATCATAAATAAGAAAGAGAGTTAGAAATGAAGAATACAATGTCTGATGTGAAAAATTCACTGGAAGGAATAAAGGATATGTTGAATGAAGCAGAGGGTTGAACCAATGATTTGGAAGACAAGGCAAGGAAAAACCACCCAATCAGAGAAGCAAAAAGAAAAAACAAATTTGAAATAAGGGTAACATAAGAGACCTTTGGGGTAACATGAAGCGTAAGAACATCCACATCATTGGGATATCAGAAGGAGAAAAGAGAGAGCAAGGAATCAAGAACCCATTTGAAGAAATAATGACTGAACCCTGACCAGCATGGCTCAGTTGGTCGAGTATCATCCCGCAAAGCAAAAGGTCACTGGTCTGATTCCTGGTCAGGGCACATGCCTGAGTTGTGGGCCTGGTCCCTGGATGGGGTGCATGGGACAGGTGACTGCTTGATGTTTCTCTCACACATTGATGTTTCTTTCTCTCTCTTTCTCCCTCCCTACCCCTCTCTAAAAATAAAACAGTAAAATCATGACTGAAAACTCCAGTAATCTGGTGAAGAAAAAAGACACACAAGTCCAGAAAGTGCAGGGAATCCCAGACAAGATGAACCCAAAGAGGCCTACGCCAAGTCACATAATAATTAAAATGGCAAAGGTTAAAGACAAAGAGGGAATCTTAAAAGTAGCAAGAGAAAATTAGTAAACTACAAGGAAGCTCTCATAAGACTGTCAGCTGATTTCTTGGCAAAAACAATTCACACCACATGGGATAGGCATAAAATATTCAAAGTGATGAAAAACAAGGACCTGTGAAGGGATGCTCAGCGTCACGTGCAATCTGAGAGATGCAACTTAAAACCACAATGAGATACTACTTCACACCAGTCAGAATGGCCATCATAACCAAATCAACAAACAACAGTTGCTGGCGAAGTTGTGGTGAAAAGGCAACCCTAGTACACTGTTGGTGGGTATGCAGACTGGTCAAGGCACTGTGGAAAACAGTATGGCATTTCCTCAGAAAACTAAAAATGGAACTGCTTTTTCACCCAGCAATCCCACTGCTGGGATTATACCCTAAGAATCCGGAAAAAGCAGTTCAAAAGAACCTACACACCCCAATGTTCATAGCAGCATAATTTACAATAGCCAAGTGCTGGAAGCTCATCAGTAAATTAGGGGATACAAAACAATAGTACATTTACACAATGGAATACTACACAGCAGAAAGAAAGAAGAAGCTCCTACCCTTCATGACAGCATGTATGGACCTGGAGAGCATTATGCTAAGTGAAATTAGCCAGGGGGTGAAAGATATATACCATATGATCCCACCTATAAGTGGAACCTAATCAACAAAACAAACAAGCAAGCAAACTATAACCAGCAACATTAAAAAAAAACAAAAAGAAACCAACAGAAACAAGAGGGAATGAGGGAGGTGGGTAGCGGGGAAAGAAAGGGGAAGGGTCAAGTCGAGGAACATCCTGATTTTAAAAATACATTAGAAAGTTAAGAAATGAAAACAGTATCATATTGTCATTAAAACAAACCTAGACCAATGAAAGAGAACCAAGAGCCCAGAAATAAATCTGCACATGTACCATCAACTAATATTTGATCAGGGAGCTAAGAATACTCAGTCTGGAAGGTACAGTGCTTTCAATCAATGGTGTGGGACAGCTGGATATGCACATGCAAAAGAATAAACAGGATCATTACATTTCTCCACTCACAAAACTTAACTTGATATGGATTAAATACTTAAATGTAAGACCTAAAAACAAGACCTTCCAGAAGACAACCTAAAGGAAAATCTCTTT